AAAGTTGTAAGGCCAAGGGAAACGAGTTGATAATAAGATAGATAAGACATCCCATGTTGTTTCTAATCACTAAGTATAGCCATTTTGAGAATTCTCCATTATTCTTTATCTGCCTCTATCTCACCCATCCTAAACCGCATGTTTTGTGGACCGTTGTTGTCGTTTTCTGTGGTTGCTCGAAACACTTCTATGGCGTTGTTGAGTCTATTTATGGATGATGGCTTAACATCTGTATCCCAGCTGATTCAGACTGTCGATTTCACCAACGAACTTGTCTGTCACATGTAGTATGCACGAACTCACTTATTGAGTTCTTCTTGCATAAATAAAGTGCTCAAAAACAGCAATATTTCGGTCCACACTCGTTGTATCTTAATAAGCAGATGACAGCAAATTTTAGAGAGCACGAGGCTTAGGTTAGGAACTGGGCCACTACTTTCGTGTAAATCAAATGTGATAAGTAGCCCTGAAGTGTCAGGTTTCATAACTAAGAGAACAATATAGTTCAAATATTCGGTTTTTCACTTAATCCATGTACGTTACGGTACGTTTCGTCAAAGTTTTTTGGTCTTAAGATATGAAATCACTAATACTCTCATTAAATTTCGTGTATATGACCAGCCGTAAATGATTTCGACCCTTTTGTAAAAATGTCTGGAACCAAGTCTATTTACTCAATTTGAGGAAAAATATGTGGTGGAAACCTAAAGTTTCCCAGTGTATGTATTACCTTGATTAACTTAGAGATTTGAAGTTTTAGTCTCTTTCTAAGTCACAAATGAGACAAGACTTGTAAGAACGTACTTCTCAATACATAACTACACCGTAGAAAATGAATCATTAGTGTTGAATCATGTAGTCCTCTAAGTTATGACTCCTAATCAGTCTAAGCATCCTTGAATGCCACATAAGAATATTGATATCTATTCTTGTTAAAGGACAGTCACGCGCAACAAATGAAGACGTTTCCAAGGCTGAAAGTTTATTTTTGATGGATTTTCCTCATAAAGGCATTTAGACCCAACAGTTGGGGATTACTTTTGGGGTTTACTTTCTGCTACCAGGGGTATGTTTACGATTAGTTTTGAATTCGCACAAGTATAAGTAATTCAATTTTGCAACTAATGACGGAAACACGAACAACTACGTAAAACACTTGACAAAACGAGTTAACGTCGGTTGCTTAAATAAGGAAATTAAATGAACTGGATTCGATTGCCGTTCATGGTTAATTTTCTGATCGATGTTTATTGTGAGGACTTAATAAGCTGATCGGTGACTTTCTACTTTCAGTGTCCCGGTATGAGCTGAGTCTAAAAAAACAACTGAATATCATTTATGGTGTGATAGTGTATGACGTGTCGTCGGCGCACAAAGATGACAACATAGGGTTTCCAGCCTAGGACCACGAGGTGACAGAAAGCCATTACCCTTAAGAACACTTAGTAGTCTATATCATGGACCGCTTATTATACATGTAAGCCGATAGATTCTGACATCATGATGTAAAATTATGATTCAATTCGAAATTAGTGCATTTAATCTTGCTACTATGATAATAGACCTAATCCCAAAATTGTAGTTTAGTGATGATGTGGCTATCTGGTTTATAAGATCTTACGTGGAATTTACATCATCTTCTAAGCAGACTCGTCCTATCATGACAATTATCAATATGACATCAAACATTTCTGATGAACGCACTTGAGCTGGGAAGAGATGAATCTATTTGATATAGAAGGCAAGAGTTGTTGTGGCGGTATATGCATGACCGAACTATACCATTTTCGTTTAGTTATCGCCGCATCTACCATTGCCGACATTCTTTCCGTGATAAATGTTGAACGTGAATTTTCTCAGTTATCTTATATGCATCTTCGATAACCTTTCGGTTAGAACTAATACCGCTTCAGTAATAATGACTCTTCATGATGCTAGAAAGTTGCCTCGTCTTTTTGACCTCCGGTTTATGTACGAATATAAGTGCCTAGGGAATTTTTTAGACTCCTTAACAAGCTTTCCTTCATACAATATTCTAGGTTTGTGTATGATTGAGGTAAACACATTTCGTCGCACCAGAGAATAATAAGCTAGATCATCGTGGAAAACCTGGAAGCACTGGATGACCGTTTCGTTCTGTTGTGTGAATCCTCAGCAGTGCGCATCCACTACCCGCCTCCCCCGCAAAATTTGAACCCAGGACTTGCCAGTCTCGCGCGTGGGCGCCCAATTAATAGACCACTGAGCTAGCATCCAACGGTGTTAATGTCTAGCTTCAACAGATCCACAAATTTGAGACACATCTACCACTGTCTTTAGTAAGTTACTACATCACGGCAGACCTAGTCTCTCTACATTGAACATTGACTTTTCCAAGATCAATAATAGAATCCATTCAGCAAGACCTCATTCGCACCATAATTTGGGCTGCTGCAGCATCTCTTGTTCTTTGCATTTCAAGCTGCACCTTATGGAATTATGGTGTACTTCGTTATTAGTACTGTTCTAATTGTAGACCTAATTCTAAAACTGCAGATTTGTCATGATGTATCTGCCCAACCTAAAGGTCTTACGTTGAAATCACATCATTGTCTGTACTTATCGTATCGTAACAATTAACAATATATGGGTTGAGAACACATTCAGGATGGGGATATAACAATATATTTGAAATGAATAAGTGATGCGACATAAGTATGACCACGCCTGAAAAATCGAGCCATGCCATCCGATGAGTTGAATTTCGAAAAATGTTACTGCGCCCACCATTGTTGACCTTTACTTAGTGTTACACGTTTAAAGTCCATCTTCCCGGTTATCTCACGTCCAGCTTCGAGGATTGTGGTTAGGATCCAATGCTACTACAAGCTAACTTATTCGCACGTTCTACTTTTATGGAATACTATTGATGATGGTAAAAGTGATAGTATTACTAATTAATGCAGTTAATTCTCTTTTTAAACTCATGGGTTCTATCGAATTTCAAGGATTCGAAATTTTCGAAACCGAATTTTCTAACTGTATACCGACTGCATAAGCCTAGTTACTGTGCAGGTGATTACATCCGATTTGATAGAGTCTATGTTTACACCTAGATTCTATCGCTTGTTGAGCAAGTTTGACCATTTGTGTAACAGATCCAAAGAACATTCGTGCTGTACTTAAAGTGTCTTTTGTGTCACTCCCAAGAGCTCACCGCTCAAAAATTATCAATTCTGATGTCCCTTCCTCCAGCACTTAAACTCAGTTTCGGTTCTATTTCAGCTTATCAGTCAGCGACAATTTCTTGCCGCAAAATCTTTTGATTCCTTCACGTAATCTCCACATAGTGATACTAAGTCTGAATTTTTGCTGCCTGGTTAGGCCTGCGTTGAGGTCGGTTGACTACCTCGTCCATAAATATTAGGCAGTGTGATTTCAAGTATATATGGAGGCATAAGCTGGCAAATTGGACTTTTTCCAATCCATTGTCACATTCTAAGACAGTTCTGGTACCAGACCATTAGCTCTCCTGGACGCCGTGAATGATGATTCATCTATTGGTGTGTTCAGCTTCTGATTTCCTAACTGCTAATAGCGCGATTCGCTTTTAGCCGCAGCACTAAGTCGCCGCTTATTCTTGATTTGCATCCATCTAACGATTTCTACTTGAGAAGCAGTCACAACTGAGCTACACACACTGAGACTATGGGTGGTCATTGATAATTAAGGTGGTCATCTTGTTTTATTTTGCATGGGCCTCACTTAGCCTTTCGACTAGGTTTTTTAGGTGTATCTCTACTGCTGCCATTAGCAGGACGGCATCGCATAAGTATCCCTTTTTGTGCTTTTAACTTCTGAAACGCCTTTTTGAAGCCAGTACTTCTTTTGGCACATGTCAGACACTCAAATCTGAGCGGATTTGTGGTGGCCGAACAGCGGTTTGTGTATTGACAGAACGAGCATCACTGTATCCATCTTGGTTGCACTCGATAATTTGCTCTTTAACAGCGTTCACGTCTGCAGTGGCACTGAGTGATGGGTTCTTCGCATCTAAAGACAGCACAAACATTTGTAGTTGGAAAACACCTTGACCAGTAACACCTTTAATAGAAGGGTATGATGACCTAGGCAAATGAGAAATCAGGGGTGGAGTTCGAATATGTATTTGGAAAGCTTTGGTACGTTTGGTGAAAGATGGCTAGTAGTTGAAGTGGAAACGTAGCACGGTGTACACACTCGTGATCTGGTGGGGATGCGTGACCGAGTGTCTTCATATACGTGAGTCTAGTGAAACTAAAGAGGCCAGTACCAAGTATCGAAGACTTACAAAGCTACTGATTTTGAGTATTTATTTACCACTACAAATGTGAGCATCATTACAAGTAAATTTACGCTTATACATTTTCATTTAGTCGTTTGAAAATCGCAGGTATTAGATTCGTGAGAACTTAAAGGTACCATGCTTCGCACTTAACGTATTGCATGGCACTTTTCAGAGGTTATCGTCAGCCTGATAGTTGGCAACTGCTTCCTTTGTACTATCCAGTAATCAACCAGAGGTTTTCAAATGACTCGCACACGTAATAAAGTAGTAAAAAAGACAATAACCAGAGAAATGGTGAACCGTGAACTGTTTACTCCAAGGGTGAAATAAATAGAAGTTGCCCTATGTACTCAATAAAAGTACAGGTGCAAAATTAAGTTGGAAAATGGCTTTAATTTAACTGAAATTAATTCTATTAAAGTGGAAAGAACGTTATGGATGTATAATAAACTGTAGAAACTATAAATCTAACTCAGCAATTAAAAATGTCGCTATCCCTTACGTACAGATCAATATATCTATTTATAAAGCACTTCTGTTTATAGACTTTCAACGATCTGTCAGTTGATAGAGATACATTGTTTGTTAATGAAAAGTTCAAAAAATGACAAATAACTTTAACATGAGTAGCAAACATTTTATCTTTTAATAACGGTAGTGTTATGTGGGCGATTCAGTTTCTGCGCGACATTGGATGTGCATCAATCAGTCAGTCAGTAACAACGTGGAACTTCGTACGTATGTACATCAGTTCGAGTTGCCATAACACAGTAGCACAAAGATTCAGTTATCGATTCACTTCCCGTAGTGGTAGAGGTAGTGAAAGTATAAGTAGTGATAGGGAACATTAGGGTTTGATGATGTTATTTAAGGAGTATGGTCCAGTGGAATATATTTGGAAAGAAAATAAAGGACATGGAGAATTCAGAAGATAGAGTTTGAGAGAACACAAAGAGTGGATGCATATGTGCCATTGCAAACGATTTTGAGCCATGTCATTCAAGGTCTCTAACCATCGGTTGCTATCATCTCGCGGTCACCAACCAGGTATTGGATGTCCATGTCTGTTACGACTCCGAAATTGTCTCAATCTGAAACTTGTGTTATTTCTGATCGTTGTTGATTTTTTACGTAATAAGTGTGTGCTCACTGGGTCGTTGGCTCATCTTTTTCCTGCCCTCCTAACGCTAATCTGCATGCTCCCCTAATACACAAAGCTTAGTAGACACAAAAAGCTACAATTCTTTGAAATCTTATTTGTCTGTTGGTTTACAATTGTTTAACCTTTATGCGCACAACGAACTCTAGCGGCAATTTACAATATAGGGTTTTTGACATTTGCTTTTGGATTCGTATATTGCGTTCGAACGCGAATAACATCCAGTTGACTTTATAAAGTTTTGAATCTGATTCGTTAGTATTTGTATATGACGAACGATTCAAGCGGTAACCTGGAAAGTTATATCACCAGTTGATATGAACTGGTTATTAGTTAGGTTAATAATATTAATAACATAAGACATATGTCTTGATGACATTTCATGCCTTTTTCGGGCTAAAGCTATTTGACAGCAGAATATGTACCTTTGTCTGTCTATTTTTCTTTTCTTAGTGTTATAGTGTCAGTTCCTTTATAATAGACCATTTATTCGTTTTTTTTTTTTTGAGATTTTTCTCGCGATGACTGCTTATTCTCTCATTTCTTTATTCCTCCCAGTTCCTCGATGTTTAAGACCATTATAGGCTTTCTTTTAGGCAAAACATCATCCATCTAAAGCCTAAGGAGACAGATGCTTGCTGATCATGAAACTTCAGAACTTCCTAGTAATCTTATGTATCCATGCAAGACTATTTTACTACGTAAGCTTTATGTTCCCCATGTTTATTCATATGTTCCGTAGGTCAACATCATTTTTGTGTTTAATATTTAAATACAAAATGTTTCAACTGTATTTGCACTACCGAAGTACATTTTTAGGGTCTCAAGATTGGAATGTTTTATCACCTGTTTCTAGTAACTTCGGTACATTTCAAAACTGACTGAGGAACCCATCATGAAACAGGTAAGTTTGCATCCTATCTTTTTTTCGTCACGATTATGGACTTTCCAAACTATTTTTAATCTTTTTATTTAATATCACTACAAATGCCTCACTCTAAGGTACTCATTACAAGAAAGTATCACAATACGGTTAATAGATACTGAACATAGACAATGCTTTTTCAACACTACTTAGTTTTGTTACTGTGGTATATTGCTTGTCTAACATTTTTGTAAAGTCGTCTTTAAATCCACCACTAGAGGTAACAAAATTTATTGTGAAATTCGTAATAGCTTACAATTTATAAAATGTCTTATCCCAGTTTGGTCGCAATTCAGACAATGGAAGCTACTAATCTCTTATCAACTTTGGAACTTCTGTGTGCACCCAAAAAGCTTGATCGTGAGAAAGGCGAAGATCAGCTCAATAACATATCACTGACATCTGACGAAGTAAAGTTGGTGTCAAGTTGGATAGAAGAAAAGTTGGAAGGACTGTCTAAATGGGAAGATGTAAGTAGTTGTCGTTACTAATGTTTGCCAGGTCTTTGGTGGGATCACTGCAGCTATCATTCTACTTCGGATTGTCGATTATCGATCTCTGGTCAATGTTGGTATTGTAGGTAAATTAGAAGATCAAGCAGTTGAATGTCATGATAACCCTGAATTCCGTGTACGGATAGCTGCAGGTCAACTTATGGGTTCCCTCTGTCGACATGCTGGATTGTCTTTATTTATTCGGTACTTACCCACTGTAATCCAGGGTGTCGTCACTAATTTAGAAAGAAATACTGAAGCACCTGTATCTGAAGCTGAGTTATCTCTTCGAGAACTCAACTTAGCTACGGTTAGTAAATTCTAACTGCTCTCTTTAATCGCTGATGTTTTATAGGAACACAGTACTAATTTGAGCAGCAGTTCTCTATCTATTTTTCATGATACAGCAGGTTGGAAAAATTTGGAAACATGGATGAAGTGTTTACAGGAAATGGTTTCGAATCTTCCATCCAAGGACTTCATTAAAGTGGATAGAACTACTATTTTGGAACTTACTTTCAAAGCTGTTCAGCACGTCAATCGTTTTGTTCGTGAAACAGGTTATGATGTTTTATCAACAATGATTTCTCGTCATTTATGTTATACGGAGCCAGAAGCAAAGGAAGCAACTTATATCAACGTTGCAACACAACTTGCCAAGGGTTTATCAGATAATTGGAGTCAAGTATGTATATATTTGCCAATTTTCACTACGTTGACTTTCAAGGTTGTAATCTTCAGTGATGAAAGCTTGTTTCTTGAAAAATTTGGATGTTTCAATTGTAGTTTTAGGCTCTATATTTGTTCAAACCAAGTCATACATATTTTGACTTTTGAGAATTTTAAGTTTTGTACCACCTATACTAGCTAGAAAATCATTCGCCAACTGATCTATCTGTTGGTAGTAAAGTACTATCCATGGCTCCTTAAAGTTAACGCGGTCTGTGTGGATGCATCTTGTTGCCCAGAAGTTTGAATATCATCTACTTAACCTCTGTTCCACATTGTTCATTCTTTAACTGGTTTAATATTGTTTCTGGTCTTTAAAGAAAAATGTTACCTAGAAACCTATTTTTAAACGCACTTTTCAACTGAATTGAATTACTACTTTATGCAAATGTACTTGACTTAAAACTACAAAACCATAAAGTCGTACCTCCGTTTAATTGGTACAAGACATTTGTCTATAAACTGTGCACTCTCGCAGTGATTCGCAAAATAAAATGTTTAGTTAAAAAATTGAGCTTCTTTTTATCAGTTGTCGCTGTTTTAATTAGGCTGTATTATTTCTTACAGTAAAAAATAGAAGAGTTTGCGCTACAGCTCTACACTTTCAGATTCAGCTCGAAAACATAAGGTTATGGTTCTGTTTAAAACGAACATTTCAGATGTTCTCAATGTTTGTTTTCTATGATTTTGTTTATTCCACGTACGAAATTTTGCTATTATTACTCAACCGAAATAGGTTTTCTTAAGTGTTTTTTAATTTGTGAAATGTACTGCAATTTTAGGTCCGTATGGCTGCTTCCAGAGCAGTACGAACTCTTTTTGAGGTTGATCCTCCCCCTGGATATACGAGAGATGATATTTACCCTATTCTTTTACCAGCTATGTGTTTAAACAGATATTACGTTGCTGAAGGCGTCAGGATTTATAGTCAAGATACTTGGTGTCGCGTTACTCAAGGAGAAGGTCGAAAGTTACTTGGTCAATATTTAGTTTCAGCTGTCGATTATTACATTCAACAAAGTGATGCCGATAATCATGCGGTAAGTTGCCATTCTTTTATAGTAACTTACTTTTGTAATATGTTGTAGTGAACTTGTGTTTGTATTTTTCTGGTGTCGTTCAAAATTACTAAAGCTTCTCCGTTAAAGCATCTATATAAGAGAACGCACGATCACATATACGTGAGCTGAAAACGCTCTGTTACTTCACAATATAGCTTTATAGAAAATATATTGTGGGAAAGTTGCGCTCGCTCTCATGTTTTAATTCACCGAGGGGTGAACAACCCACAAAATTTATATTAGCTGGTCGCTTATGACATCTAATTACGCGCATTTTCACAACAAATATTTTGTATATTTTACTTTAGGAATAGCTGTTTCGGCTTTTTGTTTCGTCTTTGGATATTAATTTATTTGAAGGCTCTCATCAGTAATTCAGTCGCGTCCACATTGTTTCATTGCACATCACCTATCATTCAGCTTTCTGTTCATTCATGTTGACAAACCAAAAACATCGTTTTTAACTTCTTGAAATCTTTCTTATCGAAAGCGTTAAAACTTGGTAAAGCCCTGATTAATGCTGCAATTGGTGTGACGGAAAGTAAATTGTTACCTGTTCAATAGAATAAGACTGATTTTAGTGCTATATTTCTATCGACAAGAATACGAGTTGTTGTCATGTCTCTCTCCATTGTTCCATTCAAGCAGTGGGGTTAGGCAAGGTTGCCCAATCTCACCATTCCTCTTCAACTTTGCCATCGATGGCATTATGGAAACACTTCTGGCAGATGTAAGTGGTGTGGATCTGTTGCCTGGATAAAGACTTCTCGACCTTGAGTATGCGGATGATATTGTCTTACTGTGCGAGAATGCCCAAGCCATGCAATCCGCACTTAATCAATTGGCAATCAGTGTCCGTCGGTATGGTATGTGCTTTGCACCTTCGAAGTGCAAAGTACTTCTACAAGACTGGCAGGATTCTAATCCTGTACTCACTCTGGATGGTGAGCAGATAGAAGTAGTCGAGAAATTTGTGTATCTAGGTAGCTGCATAAGTGCTGGTGGCGGCGTGAGTGATGAGATCGATGCACGTATAGTGAAAACCAGAGAGGCTTATGCCAATCTGGGCCACCTTTGGAGCCTTCGTGATATCAGTCTGGCTGTAGAAGGTCGGATCTACAACGCGTCGGTGAGAGCAGTTTTGCTCTATGCTTGTGAAACCTGGCCTCTCCGAGTTGAGGATGTTAGACGACTCTCTGTGTTCGACCATCGCTGTCTCCGAAGGATTGCTAACATCCAGTGGCAACACCATGTTAGTAATGCAGAGGTTCGGCATCGTGTGTTCGGGCACAGAGATGACAATCCAATTGGTGCCACCATCTTGAAACACCGACTTCGGTGGCTTGGACATGTTCTACGAATGTCGTCCCAGAGAATTCCTCGTCGCGCATTATTTGCCGACTCTGGGACTGGTTAGAGAAGGCAGAGAGGTGGTCAGTATATGACGTCGTCTCGTGGTATGAAAGAAAGCTGCAAAGGGCTAGCTTCTGTTGGTCCTTCACGACTCCCTGGCTGGGGTCCGAGAGACGGTGTAACGCAGTGGCTAGAGACGTTATCAGATATGGCTCAGAATAGAAGCCAGTGGCGATCGTTCTGTAACCTTCTTTTACTTTCTTCATAAAAAGTGGTTGTATCTTCCTTAACTGAAAGATTTCTTCTGATTGTACCTTTTCGTTTCCCCTATTATTATTACTATTACACTACCTTACACTAATCTGTTCGTTATTGTTCTTTTTTTCTCTTCTCTTCAAATTCTCATTGTTTTGTGTGAAGCATATATTTTTGGTGCCTTCTTGTACCAATATTTATGTGTTCAAATAAATAAATAAAACTCAAAATACACGAAAAATAAGGTCAGTGAATGACCATACTGTGGTCTTAGATTAAGGTTTCGGAAATACAACATGCATCAATAGCACGAGGTTCTGCTGTCTCATTTAGTGACACCTATCCTCCTATTGGACATGGGACTCGGATGTTAAAATCTCTAGCGTATAGTCTCAAGTGCAGTTTCAGGAGACAGGATAGAATTTATTTAACTCCAATCGTTAACATCAGTCGTCATTATGAAGAATTCAAAGACAGGTGACATTTGATAATGGTAATGAAAATGTATTTATTTATTTATTTGAACACATAAATATTGGTACAGGGGGGCACCAAATATATATGCGCCACAGTAATGAAAATGGGGTTTAGTTATAAACGAGGTCATGTCGTGCACTATAAAAGGTATGAGGGGAGTTTTCAATTCTTTCTTAACCACATCGCGAGAGGATATGTCTTCTTGGTAGACCTGAATAGGAAACTGGACTAATGACCTGGGAGCGAATAAGACAACTGTCTGTGGTCGATCACAGTATTTTCGTAGGAATTATTGATTATGTTAGCTTCTTACTTCAGAAGTATTTGCCGCTGGAAATGGGGATCTGTAAAGTAAGGTGAGGCATTTTACTCGTCGCAAAAAATATCGCGCGGTTGTTGATTAATATTTATTTATTCACCAACCATTAAACCCAACATTGATTTACAACTGATTCCTAAATAGTAAAAATAACATCCAAATGTGCAATATATATATTATTTTAAACATCTTTGTAATAGATGAATTTGACCATTAATTAGCGTTAGTTTAGTAAATGTATATTTACAAAGTCAATAGATTTATCCTTCAATTAAGAAATATAACTAAATTGGTGAGTTATGTGTTTAACTTTTTTCTTTTTAAAAGAAAGCGATCTTGCTCATTCGTAATAGTATTTATGCTAAAACTCATGAGGAAACTTCTAACGGTTAAATTTACAAATGTATTTCTGTTAACATCTCTTTAATATTTTAAAATGAAGTACATCATAATTTTAAACACTGGTTAATTGATTGATTAAATTTTCACAAATAAAATATTAATCGTATTTAAGTACTTAATCATGGCGATTTCTAAATGCCATTAATGAATGGACGCCTTTTATTAATGTTCATTTGTTGATAAAGTTATATACAAGGAACCTCGGGAAATATCTTAGTTCTAAATGAAAAAGTAAGATTGAGGTTTTGATATGGTAGTGATCCAATAAGCAATATTTATTTTTTCTAGAAAAGTGACAGGAGTCAAAGTTATGATATTTCTGCATACTTACGATTAATCTTATTTTCAACGTCCCTAAATTATTAATAAGCTTTTATAGACTTTAAACTGAAAAATCTTAGGCCACCCTTAAAAACCTACAAACCCTGGACGACCCTTTCGTCCTAGTACGGGGCACCTCTAACTAATATTTGTCCGTTCCCCAAATGCTCTGGTACGGCCGAGGGTGGAGAGAGTCCTTCCTCCTCCAAATGACCTCACATGGCCACGCGTATACTGCATCTACCAGGGAAGTCCTACTCACTGTCTTCTCGAGTCGAGGGTGTTGTTTACGAAATTGAGAGGACGAAAAGCGAATGTCCTGCACTTTAACCCCGGGTTGGCGGACACGGAGGGCCCACCTGAGGTAGTTGAAAAACTCCGATTACAAACCAATGTTGCACATGGGCTCCATGATCCTGAAGGAACAAATAACGTATAAGCCAACTGTTGGTCACCAGCTACCATGAGACTACATCTGACGTTGCTCCACTGCCTTGTGGATCAGACCTTTAGGTCGAAAGTTTGGGGGTGGGAGCTAGGAAAACCACCTGCTTGGGTCTGAGCACTCGGGCAGTATCAGTCCACACACATCAAGTGACTTGTATGGCGCATATGTATTTGGTGCCCCTATGTACCAATGTATACGTGTTCAAATAAATAAAATATTTGTTCGTGATTTAAAATCTATGAGAATTCTAGTCTTTACAAATAGTAATCATGCGCTCACCAGTAACTAGTTTCTGGATGCAATTGGTGGAGTTATCGTGAAATGCTGTGACTAGTGGATTTCAACCGTGTGAGACTGTTATGCCAGATGGTCGTTCAATACCGTGAATTGATTGAAGTTAGATGTTAACGCTGTTAAATCCTAGCTCGGTGGTTTAGAGGTTTACCATTTAAACGCAATATCGAAGGTCTTTGGTTCGATCTTCAATATCGGAGTCATAAATTTGCACTTTTGAGTGCCATACTAGAATAAAACGGCCGTCTACTGCTCCCAGGTTTTCAATAGTTGTCTTCACAAAACTGTATACTGATATGGATAGATTTTTCTTGTTTCAATCATTGTTTAAATTTATTAATAGAGTCGAATACGGATTTTATCCTTCACTGAAATATTAGTCAATAATCATCTTTTATTCTGTTTCGTAAACAGATCCACAACCAAGCAGTTTCACAGTTTGTACTAAAGATTTCTGATACAGATTTTTGATTTATACTCTCAGGTTCGTGAGGCTTCTTGTGCGTCTATGGCTGAGATTGTAACTAAATTAGATTCAAATTTGCTACTACCGTGTGTCAGTAAATTGCTCGATGCCTTAATTGTATGCTTTGGAGATGAAAGTTGGCCAGTTAGAGATGCAGCCTGTGTTGCACTCGGTTCATTGATTTCCACCTTTCCAAATGAGACACGCGCGGCTGGCTACGATAATTTAATGGCTGCACAATTCTTACGAAACCTTAGTGATAGTATTCCATCAGTCCGTGATGGTGCAGCTAAATCGATTGCTTCGATTTTAAAGTCAGTTGGTGATCAAAATTTATTCCAAGTAATTTTTTCTGTTTCTATATTTTGTGTCCATATACTGATGTTTGAATTTTCCGTGATACCTGTTTCTTTTATTTCTGCCAAATGTTAAACTTACTTGTGCTTGGTATTAAAATTCCAAATCCAGCTACGAGTAGGGAGAACACAAACTGTTGATAGTAATTTTTCACCAACCACAATAAGTCAAACTGTTATCTCATCACAATACTTTTCCTATGATTTATTTACAGCCATATTAATAACCAGATTTCTATAATCTGAATTGAATAGTATTTAACACCAACTAATCATTAACTCACTATGTGGACATGTATTTATAATATCCTACCGATTGACTTTACCTTTTTTGATCTGCTGTCATATCGTCTTTTCCAGCTGAAACTAGATCCAACTTCTGGAATTGGACTGAAGGCTTTGCACGTAATTTCAGTTCAGTATTTTCAACTTCCGTCCAACTTGTTTGCACTAATCTTATCAAATTGTTTATTTGGTGTAACAAGTATTTATATCTTTAGATAAGGGATTAGTGGAGATCGATCAGTTTTATTTTTCATCGTAAACTTATAACTGGGGTACTATTAAATACCAAGACACATCCAATCACTTTTCCTAGTTTGTGACCCACAAATCTACATACGACCAAACTTTGAATCTTCAGATCTCTCAGCGAGCACGATACCTCTTTGTGCACTTAATCGGGACACAGTATTTCACATTTTCGACTTCATTCAGTTCGTGATATAGCGCAACTATCACCCAGTCCCATCAGTGGTATTTGTAAAATTCTCTATATTTTTGAATTCCACTACTCATGGTTTCTGATTTTAAAGAAATATTCATTTGAAGTACTTTTCATATTTTCTTATCCTTCATCTTGATTGTCTCTTGTGGATATCTCATTTATCTTCAGAATAAATATGTATTTACAAAGCTGAGTGTTAAACCACGCGATTGTACTATGATGCATAGTTTAGGTTGTTTACTTTGTTTATTGATCTGTTAAAGATTTGTTTAACTAGGTCCTAGTGGAGGAACTTGTGCTATCAAACAAGTTAGTACTAAGGCAGTAACTTATTTGTGGAGTTCACTTGTAGGTACGTTTAATTCCAACACAGACATCATCTATGTATATTTCTTCTTTAAACGTTGCAGCAATTAGTTACTTATATAAATCTGCTTAATCGATTTGAGCTACGTCTGACGAATATTTTCATCGTGTAAAAATAAGCTAAGATATTAGTATTTCTTTAGGGCGTTTCGAATAAAATAAAGTAGTGTTGAAATTAAGCTCAAATGTTTTAAGCAAATGTAAATCACTTGATATCCGGATGAGTATCTAGTAATTGAGTGAACGGGAATGTTTACTGTTTGACCAGTCCATCTTAACATGGGGATTAAAATCAACACAGGGAACTTAACAAAATGTCCATGTTTTAAATTAGAATATGGTCCCGGTGTAAGCTGTCTAAATACCTTTATGTAATTGTGAAAAAGTTTAGTAACATACTAATCTGCATCATATATTGTTGTTAGGTTTATTTGTGTTCACACTTTGAATTGTCTGCTATATTTTCACTAACAGTGGTCCGAATCAGGAAATTAGCATAATTAGTAATCTGTATATTTCATTATCATACCATTAAATATTATTTTTATTTTAATCAATTTTCCCAAGCATTATATCAATCATATCATAGAGAAAATTGATGGACTAAGCAAACAGCCTAAAGAATCTCATGGTGCAGAATCTAGTCGTGTATCTGGGAAAGGCCCAGGAGCTTCTCATGTTACCGTTCACAGTGGAGATGCTGCTCATGATAGTCGTCATACTGATCAAGTTATGTATTCCTGTGGATCCTTGGCCCCGAAGCTTCAAAAAGGTATGTTAACTGTTCATCACTCTTTGAGACAACCCTTTCTAAGTAAGTCTAATTTTACTGATATCAGTTTTGGATTCGATGCCCAAAAATTTGGTTTAACAGACAGGTCTTTATTCGTTTGAGATAAGTGATCTGTAGGTTAATTTTCCACAGTCACTTATGACATTTTACTGTTTCTTCTGTGTTCATGTTTTGAATTTAGGCATGTTATTTTGTTGGATATATAGCCATTCACTTGGCTAGTAAGCTTTTTTTATTTCAAATCATTCAGAGTGTCCCGTCAAGAATTCGTCCTCATGAGCAGCTATCACTCAACCACGTCATTGATCGCGTTAACCTCTCGATAAACATTCTGTTAACTTGTTTTAGCGACCGGAAAATTTCATCTTTTCAATCAGTAGTTTTAATATTTTTATACTTACCTATTTAGTATCAGAAGTATGAGGACTGATGTCCCTTTCCCGCTGCCCACACTGTGGAAGGGTATTTCTCGAAGAACCTGAAAAGAAAGTTAAATTACCGTTGGTCTTAACGACCTGAGAGCGTAACCACAAAGCTCAAGGGACAACTGCTTGAGGCCGGCCGCGCTCGGCCTTTTTGTGGGAAGTTTCTAACGTGTTAGCTCTGTTCTTCTAAAGACCTTACCATCGAGGACGGAAATCCGTGAGGTGCGACATTTTTAGGGTCGACCCTTTCTAATTCCGTCCTTCCTTGTGAGAAGGCATCGTCTCTAGATGCTGGTTGCCCGAGGGAAACGACCTACTGCTGTCACGCCCCTCTACAGTCAGCAGTACGACTTTGCTCGAAAAGCAGTAAATCCGGAAAAGGATTTTGTCGTTTTTTTCACCTGTATGTCTTGGTAAATGTAGCTCAGTAGTTCAGGCGTATTATTCGATCACTGAGAATGAATAACAAATTGAATTCACGTAGTTTTTTATTCGCTGTAGCACTTAGTTTCTGAATCATGTAATGTCGTTTTACAAAATAAAAGTACATTAGTACAAAAATATTTTTCTCATAATAGTAACTAAAAGTAATATTATTGAAATTTTTATGATACCATTCACTGTTGAACAAGAACTGTGTTGATGGGTGCAGATTTTCCAGCTGCAGGCCATATGATTATCGAAATGTATGTTTGGAGACTGGTTTTCATGCTTGAATTCAACTGCAGCGGCAAAAATGTATTTATTATTCATCTTTCTTTAAATCGTATGTTTCATCGTCTTTAAACTATTTTTGTATTATAATTTGTTTATTGACATTAAGATGCAAATGTATTAAATACTAAATTGATATACATTTGTGATAAATTATAGGCTTGCATGACTAAATAACTATTATACTTGATTTGTGGCAATTTAACAATCCAGTAATAATTTTGCCATAGCTGTTGACAGTTTTGACTTTAAAATTCGTTTTGTTTCCTTGGATATTGTAGGTGAGTATTATTATGGTATTGTGGATCACATAAAAAATAGATATTTCAGTTCTAATTGTTCAGATATATTATTCTATATTGTATTTTTATGCTCATTACAATTTAGTCGTTTGACTAAAATTTCTAAGTAAATAAATTTTAAGAGTCAATCTTACCATGTTGATATTTTCTCACTATATTTACATACGGCTGCAAATATTTCAGGTCGAAAAGGTGGCGGTTGTCATGATGGTCTTCATCAACGTGCCAGTGAACCTTGGGAAGAGGCTGATGGCGCAATTCGCTTGATTGGTCAAATATCAGACAAGTTTCCAAACCGAGTCACTGATGATTTGATTGAACAACTATTGAAGGGTTGTGAACATCGAAATTATACCCATTATCCTTATTTCTTAGAAACTGGTAAGCATAATCTTTAAAATTGTAATCTCAGCTTAACAGTATGCAACTAAAGAACGATGGGTTAGGTGTTTCTGTGCAACAATATCGTTTATAGCTTCAGTTTATTGCATGCAATGAATTATTTTTTTTCTACCCTTGAATCTATCACATTCCTACAGATCTCTGACAATTGACAAAATTCTGATTGTATCCTCTAAAGTAGGTAGTTCAATTGAAATTTCAATGTTGATCTAAATAACATTAGAGTTTGCTTCTTGTAGAAGTGAACTACTTTGTGAGCGCTGAATCAGCCTGTCGTAGTAACCTTGTCTCAGAGAAGACAATCAACCAAAAGTATCCATTTGAGATAAAAATATCTTGGGACAGAATCCTAGAAAATGGATTTTTTTGCTACTGTGATTGATCTTACTACAATGCACAAGTGCTTTATCCATTTTTATATTTAACGTAATCAAGTAAGTATACTTTAAGTTTTATAACTTTAGTAAACAAAATAATTAAGTTCGTCAACATACGCACCACGTTATTTAAGTTTTTTCATCTAATTTTTTTTACACAAACTTACGTAGTATCGTTTAGCTGAATTTTTATGTCTTAAAATTGGGAATATGCTGTGTCATTTTTCTTTTAGAGATTTGATTTTCTTTTTCTAGCTTGCGATGTAATTGTACAGCTGTGTAATCATCTCGAAAAACCTCAATTTAAAAAATATATGGATGCGTTTCTGGAAGTATTGGCAACCGCAGTAGAAAGCAAATTACCGCTGGCTGTTAATGCTGCATCGGAATGCCTTAAATCTATAGGAAATCGTTTTGGTCCAAGCGTGCTACGTGGTCGAATTGAAAGTCATATTAATGCATTTGTTTCTGAAAACCTAGTTGATTTATTACCTCCTGTGTAACACTTTTACCATTTTATCCGGTACAACGACTAATGACTAGCGTCACAAACTTTTTTTATATATGAATTAACAAATTTTTGTTATTAATCGTTTATAATTTAAACTCCTGGTCCTTCATGAAAGAAAACTTTAAAAATAAAAACCTAGTCAATGTAATTTTGCATACTTTTTTTCAAAACATGCAATCTACTTTGGTATATAATAATAATTTGTGGTTTTGTATTCGATCAAATAGTAGTCTCCTGTATTAGATATAGTGTAAACATTGGTGAATATTCTAAATAGGAGTCTACAGTTAGGTGGTACGACTAACAGCTTTCCGTATTTATATCATGTTAGTCTGGTGGAGCTGTGACCCATCAATCACTGGGCCAAAATTAGGATACTGTAACTTCCGGGTAAATTTGATCAGATAAGTGGTATTACCAGCCCTCACATATTACGTACTGTTAATGCTACAAGAATTTATAAGTGTTTGTTGAATTTCATTTTTAGTTCATTAGTATTTACGAACTAGAGTAAAGAGTGATTATGAAGCGGTCTAGGTTGTCCTTTCAGATGAAAAATAAGTTAGACGTTCAGACTTCTGAGTAAAAAACACTGAAGCTGAACCTAAATGATCACCATATAAATTACTTAGGTAAAATATAATTGGTTTAGACTGAACATATGTTCAGCTTAACATTCTGAAGAATCGACCTAGTTACTTCAGATCTCATATAGTAAGGGAGATTCATCCTTTGTTCATTTGTTTTGAAACACTGTTTTGGTCGTTATTTTGCTTTGGTCCCAGTCAAATTAGTTCTCAAAAGGTTCTGCAAGACATTTGGATTGGTTCGTTAAAGCGCGTATCTATTTAGTCATTCACTTTGAAATATTCCGTTTTTGCTTAGCATAATTTCTATAGAACGTCTATATAGGTTAGCTATATACAAAATTTTGTGTTCAATAACTTCTTAAACAAGTCAGCTCGAAAAATGATTGAATAATATCCAAAAAAACTAGAAAGTTTGTCTCTTGTTTCAGACCTAGGAAATGTCCGTGTCATCCACTTATTTCCATAGACTAGAAACCCATCATTGTGATAGGACAGTTCATAATCAATCATACAACGGGATTCATTGGACATTTTAAAATTAAATAAGTAGTGTTGGGCTGAATGCACTTTAAAGACTTTCAAATCGCTTCTAAATATGCAACATTAAAACATTAACAAGCTCCTAAATAGAGATTAACCGATGACTTGCTCAGTACACTCGGCTTGTGATAAGATGTGTTATTTTAACGTGTAGGTTGATACGTACAAAACAAGTTTAGCTAATTCCCATATACGTAACTTTTCTATTTTACTTCTGAGTTGGCTAGGTGTTGGTGTAAATTAGTTCCAGGTTATGATATTTCATTTTACAGATGATGCTCCCTTATAAGAATGGTCAGTTGCAGAAGTCCCCAAATGTCGGCATCTACTATGTTCAAACCTTATAAAGGTGTGGATATACTAAAGTGAAAAAAGTTAGAACTAGTAAAGATACTATTCCTAACGAAGCCCAACGTGATGGAGTACAACTCCATGAAACTACCTATTGGTTGCGAGTTAAACGTTGTTTGTAGGTGCATCTACTTTTAATCAGTTAAATGATCTAGAGTCTGAGGCATTCATTAACACATGTTTGAAGCCCATCTCATTATGTTGTGCTCCAACTAACACGGATTTGTGATGCTAAAACTAGTTATCTCAAAATAATTCATACCTCAAACTAATACGACTACCAACTAAGACCAGAATACTCCTGAACTATATACTCCAGTATGTCAATTTAATCATAAATTGAAGAACGCCATACTCGAAGCCCATCAAATTACTTTCACGTCCTGTTGCTTTGTTTTATTTACAGCAGCCTTCTTAACCTCAACAAGAGTTGGAGGTTTGAATGCAGTCAAATCTTTGATAATTAAAGTGTACCGAAAAATAACTCATTACCGAGTGCTTGAATATGAATCACATTACATGTGAGGGATAATGATACTATCCAGTCGCCTAAGTTGAGGTAGGTAGGGTGTTGCTTAGACGCCCCAACCACTATGTGGCGACGGAGTGCTAAATGAAGTGTAACTTTAGGTTTACTTCTATATATTTAACTATGATAAACGTCAAATAGCCTATTTCAAGCTTCCGTTTAATGTTATCTGCGAAACGATAACAGTGAGCCACACAATAGTTTTTTAGTACCTAAAAATTGTCTTCACTAACCCCTTTGCTGAATCGAAAAACACCAGCTATAACTGTTGGACAGCCAATCACGATGACAGGAAAACGGAACTACAGACAGAAGGTGGTTGTTATTAGTTATCCTCCAATGATATAGGTGCGATAGGTTTTCAGTCTTATATCGAGTAGCCTAAAGATAGCGTTTCTGACTGTATCAATGGTCTAAAATAGTTTGAGTCCACGGAAGACAATCGTCTTACCAATGGTTATGACAATGAGTTTCGACCAGCAAGAACAGCTTCTTGATAAATGCTAACACCTATCACAGTGTTTTGTGCGATGTTCGAATTCAATGTGTAAAGCAAGTGATCAACCATTTGTATTAAAAAACAAACAAGTATGTATTTACAATTTTTAAATATATGCTCATAATACAATTTTACATCACTATTTCATTATTACAAAAAGTCGTTTAGAACAAGGAAGAGGTATGTAAACTTATTCATTTACTGAGAATTATGGGCGCGAATTTCAACGGGGTTAGACGTACTAGAATACAAGGGTAGTATATTTGTAGACTCCATGGCGCTAAGAGCCTTCTTCAGGAACTGTAAACATTCTAGTTTTTCGGTAGATCCTATACCTTGTGGGATTTTTGGAATGGATTGTTCTAGAATGTTTAAAATAGGTTCTAGTAAATCTCTGTGTTCTCTAACGCAAACTTCGAATCCCACATCCTGTTTCGCCAAACACTGCGTAACATTCCATATAAAATCCCTGATTTAAAAAAATAAAAATAAGCAAATCTCAGTATACAATCAAAATACCAGTGACAAGGTAACAGATATTCATCATTAAAATAAGGTGATAAATCCGTCTGGTGCTCTTTTAGGGTAATTGTCAGTTCCAAACCGTAGCAGAAGGGTTGGACAGAGGGTCAGCAACCTCACCTTGTAGAAAAAACTTTACTGAAAAAAAACACTAATCAAGAAAATCTTCTGAACTGGGAGTTGAAGGACTTTCATTTGGAAGACTTAGGATGACTTGTGGTGAAAGCCGAGATTCTTCGGGAACCATGAACTCGATGCCCCTCCTGACAATCATAGTAATTAACATAGGTACACGGAATATATGCACAATGTAGGAGACCGTGAAGACCATTCAAATAGCTGTGAGAAGATACAACGTGGCCCTGCTTGGAATTAGTAGACACAAGCTGGATAGAAAAGACTAGCTTCGGGACAAGTATCGTTCTGATCTGGTTACGAACAAAACAATTTCTCGCATACTCAAGAAGCTGCACTGATGTTGCCCAAAGAAGCATGAAAAACACTTGTAGGATGGGAACCTTATGGTTACAAGAAGGGAGGGATTATGATGAATGTCATCCAGTGCTACTTGCACACCGATAAGAGTAGTGGAGATTATAAAGATCAGTTTAGTGAGGCTGTAACCCACCGTAAAGAACTATCCGGGAAAAAATGACCATCCTGAGGGGAGATCTAGATGCCAAGGTCAGAATGGACTATACAGTGTATGACGACACTATGGAACAAAATGGACTGGGAGAAAGGAACGAAAATGTTGAGAGATTTGCAAATTTATATTCCTTTAATAAAATAGTTATGGGTGGAATCATATTCCCACACAAATACATACACAAGCCCACATGGAAAAAGATGTTCGAGGTGGATAGGATATACTTTACTGAAATCCCCGAACTGCACCACGAGGCAAACACTAACCTTGAATTTCCAAGGCAAAAGAAAAAGAGGGAGACCAAAGAAACCATTGCGCCAGAAATCTGAGGCAGACATCAAAAGGGTAAGTGAAACTTCGTAAAAACTGGAAAAGAAAGGTTAGGACAGAATTGGTTGGATAATCCTGGTGAGAGGCCTATGCTCAATAAATGGTGACAAGCGTAAGTAAAAGTAATGTGACATATCAGGTTCATACAATTTGGATGACAGCTTAATTACATCTGTTTTTGTCTTAGATTTAAAAGTTATCCATTATGTACTGGACTAAAAAAAACATCGTTTTATTTTCTATGGTGGTTCAAAATACATAATGACTATCCAAGTCTTTTCAGGTAATTCAAATTCACAAACCAATGAATAAATTTCCATCTATACAAAACTCTACATCAGAAATTAGTGTACTAATTCACTTCATAATCATTACAAGACATGATGGCATAAATATATTTCAAAATCTCTTATCTATTATCCTTCTGAAAATCATTGCAAAGAATTTAATACTAACGAAAGTCTATTTCAAATCAGAATTACACAGGGGTAATTGAAAGTTACTCCAATACAATTCCAGTATGAAGTTGAACTTTCTAATAAAACAATCACTAATAAAAATACACATTTAATAAGATGAAATAGAATAATGAACATACAGTTGTATAAAATCATCTTCTTTAGATAAAATATATAATCCTTTTATCGCCCATTCCCATGTTATCATATTATGACTATCAGCATAACTAAACCAATCATATAATGCATTAATTAATTTTGTTTTCCATGTTAAGTATTCTTCACGATTAATTTTATTATCACTATTATATTCAGCAGATAATTCATCAAAAATTGGAAAACATAATTTTGTACTTTCAATTATCATAAATTTAACAAGTTGGTCGTACTGTTTCATAATTGATTGATCGATTTTTATTCCACTCACGTCATGAGATCCAGTAGTTGTGGAAACATCATTCATTGGCTTTATTAAATTATCTGACCTTTTTAAAGCATTTATTATTTTTATAGACATATCTAATGCATCCTTTGGATTAATAGTAGCCCATTTGCACACTATATAAGTTATGCGTTCAATAGTACTTGGAAAAACATATAAATAGTGAGAGAATTCAATGTTCAACAAATCATCTAATATTCTGCATAGATGACTATATATGGTTAATTTTATTGAACGGATAGTTTGCTGATTATATGTCTTTTCTTTCAAAGGGATCTTTAGTCTCTGTACGGTATAATTATTGCATAATCTCAATATTCGGTTATAATTTTTGATTAGAATTACCAGTAAACTGTTTGATGATAATATCACATCAAAATACTGACAATAAGTTGTATTATAACGTTGAATTAATTGAACAAGTTCATTCATATCAGATTCATTAAATTGAATCATTAATCTACAATAATCATGAATATAATTACGTTTCATTCGACTATTAGGCAATAAAAATGTTCTATCTTCATGATGAATTAATAAATTATGGATTTTTTGACCTAATTGTACATTTAATTCATTCATTGCACATTTCATTGCTATTGGAAAAAATGTATAATCATCCATTGTCCATGCATCAAAACGTTGAGGTGATCCGCCTATACCAGAATTATTATTATTAAAATAGATTTCTACTTCATTTATTAATTCATTCAATAGATTAGAACAAGTATAGGATGAATGATCAGTATGATAATTTATCAAATTATTATTATTATTCTGTTTACTTATCATGGATCTAGTTGTTGTCGATGTGGAAGATCGATTTACAGGTACTGGTGTTTCATAAATTAACAACAACAAATTAGCTAATGTACCAAGTTCAGGTTTAAAATTTAATCGTTTTAATTCATTTAATAAGCCTAAACCTATTGAAACATAATTTCCATCAGATAAATGTAATGTTGATGACATCGAATATTTCATTTTAGCACTTGCATATGCTAGTGTATAAAGAATATTAGTAAAAATTGATATATTTATTGGATCTCCACATGTTTTCACATGTTCTAAAATATTCAAAATTACATTCCAAAGATTTTCTTCACCTTTCATTACAATGGTTAATTGATGTAGAGAACGAATTAATTGATTATATGTGGCTAAATCAAGATATTTATCGTCATTTTTTGATTCCCATACAAGTTTAGTCAATTCAAAAGCACGATCAGCATTACCGAATCTAGCTGCACCACGAATCATACTTCTATAACCTGCTGGAGTGTTGAGAATGTTAAATTCTTTATGAAACAGTTTTTCTGCAGGTGAATCTAAATTCCAATTATTAGACTCTCCTACTAATGATATGGAGTCCCCTGTAAACTCATAGTTGATTTCATCATTTGTTATATTTTCCAACTCGTTTTGATTGTTTATTATTTGTCTGTCATGATTATATCTAGGGGTAATATCAAAACGATGCGTTACATAGATTTCATCAGGATCCGGAAGATTACTCCAATTATAATTATTTAATAATACATGGGAATGAGATCCACCTCGACCACCATTTGTAACACATAAAAGGTCAAGCAAGCGATGCAAAATATTCGATGTCCATTTGTAATCCTAATATACACATATGAAATATGAATAATATGAGAACTATACGGAAAATTATAACATAAAAAAGCAAATAAACTTACAGTATAATGTTTGTTAATTAGAACTTACTTTTTAAGTTACTGATTTGTTTACTTCAGTAGTATATATGAAATTAGTATAACTGTTAAACCTGTGCTCGAAAAACACTCAAAGACTATTGTTAGTATGATACTTGAATCGTACTATATTAATATACTTTATGCTCTTCCATTATTGTAGTGACGTATATTTGTAGCTTAATGTGCAGATATATCACCGACATGTTTTTTTTTAAACTGACTTAAAAACATTTTAATCAAACGATTAGGCAATCTGATATATATATATATATATATATATATATATATATATATATATATATATATATATATATATATATATATATATATTGGAGGTATTTGCATCGTAATAGAATCTACCCTAATGCAAAAACACTTGAAAGACATGCATCGTATCAAATTTATACTTTGAAAATGAATAACAGTGACTTGGAAAGGGATCTTCTTCAGAGACAACATTCCGTTAAAAGCATGTCTTTAGAGCTTCAGCCAATGTTCATGGATTATGTGGAATAAATTTCTAAGAACAGATCCGAGAAAACGATGACAAAACTTGTGAAAACTTTGGAAAACCAAAAACCAGAAAAGGAATTTCCCGAAACGTATGGATAGTGGCTAACAGTGCAATTTAGGACGTACTTTCCGTCCTGTTCCGCATTCATCACCTGGGTGCATTGGCGTTCTCGTGTTCATGTTCACACTAAAACGTAAACTCAATACCATATGCTTTGAACGCTGAACACTTTGTTTACTGAGCTACTGAATCGAAATAGTCGCAGGCTTTTACAGCAGGAATGAGTGTTAGTACTTACTTGTAAGTGCTTGAGTAGTGAACAGAAAACCAGTGGGGACAACCGAATGCATTTAACAACAAATTACAGAGCATCTCAATAAAATCTGAGAACCATATATTAAATCGGTAATTTGCAAAATATCAATCCATCATATGAAACTTGACTGTTCCTGTTGCAACATCAATCCATTGTATCAGATTTCATTGTTCATGCGTTTTCAGACAAATTGCATTGTGTTCCCGCTTTTCCTTTCTTGATCTTCCCTCATCTTCTGCTGCCAGACATTACGTCCCTAACTCGCGTCATATACTACTTATATCAATATAAGTAGCGCACACCACGCTTGTATCTTCTCATTGTTGGTGTTAAGGAGTGAAAATCAACAACAGAAAGGTCCAAACTTTATAAATAAATTATGTATATTAATTTTGTTGCTATGATATACACACTTACAGGAGCTATCTCATTATATAATTTCCACGAATGTTTAGGAGCAAGAAGTAAAATCAACCGATCCATAGCTTCATGATTGCTTAATGATCCTTCAACAGCACGTTTCAAAATATTATCTGGAGTTTGTATAGGTATCCATCGATTAATATGTGGAGCCTGCAAAAAAAGAGTATAAATTTAAAAATGAGTTATTTCAGCTAATGATACAGTGCAAATCAATCTTAGTAAAAATTACAGACAGCAGAATTTGTAAATATTTTTCTAGAAAAAAACTAATAAAGAACTGAAATATTTATTTTTATTCAACGTTACAACAAAAATTGCCAATAGTTTACTAGAATTATGATGAACAACAATACTTCAGAATGTTTAAAATTAATTTAGGAGTGAAGCTCTAACCTAGTGGCGAAATAGATGAAAACTTACCATCGACTGAGTTTAACCAAGAGAATCACAGTTCAAGGATACACTACATTTAAACTATGATACATTGTTGATGCTAGTTTTAATATATAAACCATAGATTCTATAAAATACAAATACTTATCAAGTTTATCTTTTCTGAAATTACTAGAAATAGGAATGAAAAAATCATCCTACTTACTTCTGTACCTAAAGCTGTAATATCATTCGGAAAAAAATCTCTGGCAGATATTCTTGCAGCTAAACGACCTTTAGCTTTTGATAACATACAAAGACGTGTTTTTGAAGTCGATAAATAACTAAAATCTGGACCTAATTCAAAAATTGGAGCTTCTGGAACAGGTTGCACACATGAAATTAATGCGCGTATAACAGAAGTAGGATTCCTGTAGCGTTTCAAAGGTGGGTTCAGATCAAGTGAATTCTTTTCTTCCTTCAATTTTAAGGATGAAAACTCGGAAAAATAGGTTTTAAATAGGAAATTTCTTGTAATTGATGATGCATGAGTTACGCAAGAGTAACGTAACATCTGTGTACCTATAGAGAAACAAATAATAAAATAGGGTGATGTGTAATAAAGAATCGAATATATTAGTGAACGAATGTTTGTAAACAAAGATACATGTCCTCATTTTCTCGACTACATAAAGGCAGTTCAAGAGCTACACAACCCAACAATTTACACGGTTGATTAACTGATGAATGACTATATTTATTCTGAACAGTAAAACAATGTTGCACTATCGTCGTTGGGCATCAAGCTAATTTGTATTATTTTGTTCAACAAATTGTAATAATCTAATAATTTATGTTTGTACTTATAAAAATGTACAGAATCATGGTATTATATTTAGAAATTTGAGGAAAAAATAACTCCACATGATGAGTTGCTGATACACCTTGAAAAATTCTCGCTCTACAAATAACCTGTTAACAGATGATTCATATGAGGTTGTAATAATTAATTACTGAATTAATTTACAATCATATAACAATTAGTATCAACAATGCTTCTTCAAAACAACAGACCATTCTTGAGATTTGTTGTGAAAATTAGCTTGGATTGTAAATCGTATTCATCACAGATTGGCAGTTAAAATACTATCGAAAACCAGAGGCCATAGGAAAGCAACTTCATTTTATTTTGAGATCCCTTATGATTGTGTGACAAAGGTTTCCAAAACGGTCTTAACTAAACTCAATCCGTGGAGAACAGTACATGCATATAACAACTAAATATTAAGGATATAGATTTTTGGATGGAATTATTTTCTTATTCATCACACAGAAATCAAAATATAGTGAACTCATACATCTGAAAAAGTGAACTATTCAACTTATCAATTCATAAAGATTGTTTCCATCATAAACTTATATTAATGAAAGGGTCCGTTTGCGACTTCCTCTGTACAACGATTGTGCGGGAATCCTCAAAACGAAATGAAGTATATTATCATCACTGAGTTCTAGTATAATGATATTATCCTTTTTGGGTCTTAACCAACTACTAGTAAAGCGCAGGCTGCATTAAGACAGACGATGGTAATTCAACGCTAACTGTTCATCAATGGAAAATACAAACCATAGCAAATAAATTATCAGCACTTTCAATGTATTATTTTAGGATTCAACGGAAAAAAATCTCGCGAACTGTATAGCTGAGAAGCGCCAAACTAATGAGTTATGATAATTAAGTATTCCACGCTTTTTTCTGATTCTTTGAACTAATGATCATTTCCTAAGAAAAAAACAACTAAATTAACTAATTCTTCAGAAGTGTAGACCTTGTTACAGGAATTTATTTCCAAAACATACAAAACAAATATTTAAGAACAGGATTCTCAAAATCATCATAACAGTTAAACTGATAAGCAGTTGTTTTAATAATAATAATAATAGTAATAATAATAATAATAATGACTGTGAAAATATCTAGAACACGTTACAAAAATATGTTTAACAAAGAACAAGGAATAACGATAACCATCTTAGCAGTATAAACAATGAAATGCACACAAGCAGAAAAATGTGCACATTATTTTTATTCGTATGATCATTTTTCTCTTAATGAATGAGAACGTAAATTAGGACCAGAATTCATTCTATTTAGACGCATAGCAATTGAACGTGTCATACGAATATTTTGATCAAGACTACCTTGTGTAGTGTTAACAGTATTAGTAGTTGTTGCATTTGATGTTGTTGTGGTATGATCATCAGTTTTTAATTTTCCACTTAACAATGGAATAGATCGAGTAGTTTGTTTAACTTGAGATTGAAATTTTACATCTGTTGATGGATAATTAACAGAGTTATGTTTGAATTTTGTTCCTGTCACTGTTGTTGAAGATGTTGATACTATATCAATTGAAGGTGTTGTTGTGATAGAACATGTCAATGATACATTTGTGTTAGAATCCTTGTTTATGTCTTTTAGATTAACATTTATTATTGGTTGAGAATTTGATATTACTGTAGATGATTCATTTGATGAATAGAATGATTTTGTTATCAAAGGAGATAATTCTGATGATTCAGATCTCACAGTTAATTGATTTTTAGAAGTATTTCGTGTTGTACGCCGTAATGATTTAGAACTAGTAATATTTGTTAACGGTTCTGTATCGCTGGAAGATTCAGATATTGTAGTATTAACCGATGATTGTTCTAACTTATTTGACACTATAATTAGAAAAACATGTATGTATACATAAATAAGGAGGAAAAAAATCATCGAACCAAACAAAATAGAACAAATTAAAAAATGTCTATAAATTAACAATTATGTATGAAAAATTTATATTGTAAGAGATCATTTTTAAGTGACTAGAAAAAATAATAAAAAAGCAGTGATTACTAATTGTATGGAACAATTAGAAAGTAGCTAGTAGTCGCTGAAAGTTGGTGAACATTGGACAGCTATCATTAATATGCTACTTATTAACTTGACCAATTCATATGGACATGAAATACCAAAATTTCACATTAGGAAATAATTATGGAACACGGTCAACAAATCAATCTCCACATGATTTTCCTGAAAATATCTTCCCTAAAATCTGATTACCTGAACGCATATCCTTTTCATGTGACCAGCATTTATAAAACCAAAACTTCGAAGTTCGATCAAGATAATGGATAAACATGTACAAATGTCGATGAATTATAGCACGTCGACAAGCTGTTAACTGCATACCATCCAGTAATGTAGGAAGGATAGCTACAAAATAATGTTTGAATAATAAATAACAAAGCTTTCCATCATTCAAATTAACAATGACGGATTAAAAAACGCAAGGAACATTAATAAAAAAATCTGGATTCATTTATAGTACACAGAACTAAGTAGCTGAGATATTTGTTGATATTTTGGCTTACATGAAAAGCTTGAGTATAAAAGTGAAGAAGTTTGATTCTGATAGATGAACATGTGTATTGTGATTTAAATGTAATTAAGACAGATAATCATCAATTTTATCCTACAAATAATAACATTAATGTTGTTGCTAATAGTGTCTGGCCAGCGGATCTGAAGTATTTTGCGTAGACAACCGTTAATAAACACCTGTATCTTCTGGATAATGGCTTTCGTAGTTTTCCAGGTTTCGGCCCCATACAGTAGAACTGTCTTGACATTTGTATTGAAAATTCTGACTTTGGTGTTGGTTGACAATTGATTAGAGTTCCAGATATTCTTCAGTTGTAAATATGCTGCTCTTGTTTTGCCAATCCGTGCCTTCACATCTGCATCAGATCCATCGTTTTCACCGATGATGCTGCCTAAATATGTAAAGGTTCTTACATCTTCCGAATCTTCTCCGTCAATTGTGATTGGATTGGTGCATGCTGTGTTGTATAGGAGAATCTTGCTTTTCCCTTTGTGTATGTTGAGACCCACTTCTGCTGAGGCTGCAGCTACACTAGTCGTCTTCTCCTGCATTTGTTGTTGCGTATGCGATAGAAGAGCCAGATCATCTGCAAAGTCTAGATCATCCAATTGCATCCTAGCTATCCACTGTATCCCGTGCTTCCCTTCAGATGTTGATGTCTTCATGATCCAGTCGATCACCAGGAGAAAGAGAAAGGGTGAGAGTAAGCAACCTTGCCTGACACCGGTCTTTACTTCGAACGACTTTGTCAACTGTCCTCCAAGAACGATTTTTCAGTTTAATCCATTATAGGAATTCTGTATGATATTGACTATCTTCTGAGGCACGCCGTAGTGTCGAAGAAGCTTCCATAGGGTTGTTCTGTCCACGCTATCAAATGCTTTTTCGTAGTCGATGAAGTTGATATAGAGTGATGAATTCCATTCAATTGATTGTTCCACAATGATCCGTAGAGTTACGATTTGGTCTGCGCACGATCTATCCTTACAGAATCCTGCCTGTTGGTCGCGAAGTTGTGCGTCTATGGAGTCCTTCATCCTGTTTAACAATACCCTGTTGAAGACTTTTCCTGGTATTGAAAGAAGAGTGATTCCCCTGTAGTTATCACAATTGCTGAGATCGCCTTTCTTTGGTATTTTGACTAGAAGACCTTCTTTCCAGTCTTTTGGTACCTGTTCCTCATCCCAGATCTTTCTGAAGAGAGTTTGGAGTATCCTTGCAGTTGCCGCTACGTCTGCTTTCAGTGCCTCTGCTGGAATGTTGTCTAGTCCTGCTGCTTTACCACACTTGATTTGTCTGATGGCCATGCTGATTTCTTCAATTGTTGGTGGGCCAACGTTGATTGGGAGGTCCGTGAGTGCTGCTTCGATGTTGGGTGGGCTCGGTGGGGCTGGTCGATTCAACAGCTCTTTGAAGTGTTCTACCCACCTGTTTCGTTGTTCTTCAATGTTGGTGATTACCTTGCCTTCCTTGCTTTTCACTGGTCGTTCTGGTTTACGGTGATTTCCAGAGAGTTTCTTTGTTGTGTCATACAATTGTCTCATGTTTCCTTCTCTTGCAGCCTTTTCCGCCGTCATTGCTAAATCTTCCACATATTTACGTTTGTCGGTTCTGATGCTCCTCTTCACTTGCTTGTTTACTTCTGTGTATTCAGCCTGTGCCTTGGCCTTTTCTGCTCTTGTTCGACTGGTATTGATTGCTGCTTTCTTGTTCCTCCTTTCTTGAATCTTATCTAGTGTATCGATCGTGGTCCAATCCTTGTGGTGGAGCTTCTTTTGGCCCAGAACCTCATGACATGTTGAAGTGGTTGCCTCTTTTATCTCTTTCCAGTTGCTCTCCATAGTAGTTTCTTCTCCATTGAGTCGATCATGAAAGGCCTGGAACTTATTGTTGAGGGTTATCTTGAATTTATTGAGTTTGTCTTTATCCCGAAGAAGAGTCGTATTAAACTTTTGTGATATTGTCCGCCCCGTTGTCCAGTGCCTCTTAAGTTTCAATTTCATCTCGGCGACCAGCAAGTGATGATCTGATGCTATATCAGCCCCTCTCTTGGTTCTCACGTCCTCCTGAACTTTTTGTTGATGCAGATATGGTCGATTTGGTTCTGTGTGTTGTGATCCGGTGAAGTCCATGTGGTTTTGTGTATGCGTTTATGTGGGAATATAGTTCCCCCTATGACCAGTTTATTGAAGGCACATAGATTTGCAAATCTCTCACCATTTTCGTTCCTTTCTCCCAGTCCGTGTCGTCCCATGATCTCTTCATATCCGGTGTTGTCAATTCCAACCTAGGCATTTAGGTCTCCCATCACAATAGTCAGGTCCTTTGTTGGGCACTTCTCGACGATTGACTGCAGCCTATCGTAGAATTGATCTTTAGCGTCTTCATTGTAGTCGTTGGTAGGCGCATAGCATTGGATGACGTTCATTGTAATCCCCGTTTTCTTTGTTTTGAAGGAGGCTTTGATGATCCTTGACCAATGAGATTCCCATCCTATAAGTGCATTTTGTGCTTGTTTGGACAGCAACAATGCAACTCCTTATGTGGGGCATTTTCTTCTTCATGTCCGGAGTATAACAACAGCTCCCCTGAAGCTAGTCGTTGTTGTCCAACTTGCGTCCAATATGTTTCACTGATCTCAAGCACCTCCAAATTGTGTCTCCTCATTTCTGCAGCAATTTGGAAAACTCTCTCAGTCTCCCGCATTGTGCGAGCATTTCATGTACCTAAATAAATGGTTGCTCTGGTTGTCAGAAGGGGCATCGGCATCGTGACTTCCGAAGAAACTCGGCTTTCATCATGAGGCGTCATAATTCTTCTAAACGAAGGCCTCCTGACTCCCAGGGCAGAGTTTAAATGGTTTGAATAATTTTTTCTGGTTAGCGTTTTTTTAGCGAGTTAGTTTTCTACGGGATGGGGTCGCTAACCCCATGCCCAACCCTCCTCCTTTATCTGGGCTTGGGACTGGCAGTAGCCCCCCCGAAAGGGACTCCAGGCGGAGTTGCACAAAATTAACTATTTATTATATTTTGTTTTTCAATGTTAGTTTATTTTTTTAACTCTATTTTCTGCTATACAAATAGTTATTACAGCAGTTTTGATTGTTCAAGATTAATTCTTTTCCTTGTGTTAATTCGAAGTGTAGAAATTAAAGTGATACAAAACTTGTTTGATTTTATGGTATTCACTGTAGTTGAACAAAGACGCTCGAGTTCTAAACCTTGATAAATATGGGTTACAGAACAAATGTTGTGTCTGTAATTTAACAAGACATAGGAATTATTGGAAGATGAGTTGTAACTTTCAAATGGAGCGAACACAACCTTTTAGATTAGACAAGACTATTGGACAGATTTGTTCAGCAATACAATATAACAATTTAAACGTTGGACAAGCTGTATCAATCACCAATCGGTTACGTAGAATCAAATCATGAGATTATAGTATCAAATGTTGTTACTACTTCTACTATTGCCAACACCACAAATTCATCTTGTGATCTTAAACGCGTAAAAATCATGTCACGCAAGTTCTTAATGACTGGTTGGAAAAAGTGGAGAAGTGGTCAGTGTATGATATGATGTCGTGGTATGAAAGTTGCAAAGGGCTGGCTTCTGTTGGTCCTTCACTACTCCCTGGCTGTAGTCCTAGAGATGGTGCGACACAGTGGCTAGAGACGTTATCAGATATGGCTCAGAATAGAAGCCAGTGGCGATCCTGCTGTAACCTTCTTTTACTTTCTTCATAAAAAGTGGTTGTATCTTCCTTAACTGAAAGATTTCTTCTGATTGTACCTTTTCGTTTCCCCCATTATTATTACTATTACACTACCTTACACTAATCTGGTCGTTCTTGTTCTTCTTTTTTTTCTTTTATGCTCCTTACCTTTTTTTCTCTTCTCATTCTCATTGTTTTGTGTGGTGCGTATATATTTGGTGCCCTCTTATATTAATATTTATACGTTCAAATAAATAAATAAATAATGACTCTATGCAAAACTAACAAAGATACAACAACACAACCACCACGACTAACATCAACAATAATGGTACAACTATGGAAATAAAAGTAAATGAAACCGAAATAACGTGGAATTCCTTTTGAAGGAAATTCATACAGTAAATGCAACTACAATTGTTGAGTACATATACAAGAGTGTTGATAGGTGACTGAAATTTGAACAAACAAATTATATAATATTATTACATGTAAACCCATTTTTTAAATAACCAAAACTATGAAACAAAAAACTAATCAATTTACAGATAACCTACTGATTAGTCTTAAAAGGTAGTAAGGAGGATAATTTAAACAAGGCAATCGTGGATTTTTTATAACTTCTGAATTTGGAAGCAATTCATATCGAGGTGAAGAGAATCGATAAATAGAATGAATATCATTTGGTCCATGGTGATAATTCACACTGAATGCTCGACCATCTTCAAACAAGTGGCCATTGAAACTAATGTAGTACAGAAGTAAAAAGTAATGAAAATGTCATATAAAAAAGACAAATTTTGTACAATAAAACGACCTACAGACAAGTACCAGAAACATGAGAATCATTTACCTTTAAGTACGTTTCAATTTAAACATTAATCACGTTATATACGGACGGAAAATAAATGAATCGTAACAATCAGGAATTATTTATAGACCGTTATATATATATATATATATATATATATATATATATATATATATATATAGTTATATGATTTACTATTCTTAAGATATTCCCAATTTATTAGTAAGTCTCTCACAATCACAGTCACTTTTCGGCTTGATTTTTTATAATTGTTATTTCCTATTTTATGATATGATACGGTCTCGTTTGTTTGTATATAAACCCAGTATCTCTGAAATATATGATTCGTATAGCGGAGGCTGACATTGACGTTCTCGTCTGGACCGGCTGGATTAGGAGAGAAGCTACTATCTCGGAGGACTAATAGGAACTATAGGTTGCTCGTACTAGTCTACGCGTCGTTAGTCAGAACGTATAAGTCGGTATCTAATTGACGATCTTATCACATGATATATAGACCTGGGTATAAGAGCATAAAAAATCAGTCCACATAAACAAAGTATAAAAGAAGTCGTTGATGACTGGTTATGTGCTCATACTAAGTGAAAGCACTTTCTATGACTGGATACCAAGGACTTTTGTGTTTCTTATGTTCCAATTTTTCAACTTATAATAAATATTGACCTCTTTTTTTAAATAATTGTTCGGAATTATCAATTGAAACAAAAAGAGATTCCTAAAATTTGTAAGCTAAATAAACTTACATTACCACTCAATGGATGTATAATTTTTACTGTAAAATTATTGTATTTTAATGTACGACTTAATAAAACCCTAGTGAAAAATACATATTTGCTCAGTTAGACGTTATTACAAATATCATAACTTTTCAATGTCAAATGAAATAGCATATACTTATGACGAATGCATTGAATTGCAGTGAATTTTTCTCATTAAACTCATAGACGACCACAATTACTATTTATTACGAAATTCGTGTTAGTGGTGTATACATGTTATATTTAATTCAGAGGGAAAACGGAGATATAACACAACTGACTGATGTCTAAGCGTTTAATGCTTAGTTTACAATTTAGCTTTTATAAAATGAGTTGTTTAAACAAAAGCGTACATACTGTAGATAATTTAATATGGGACAAAATTTTATCAACTTTAAAGTGTAACAATAGTTACTTAAATAGGGAAATATGACCACAAAAAAGTAGATAATCTTCCAAACAATAATAAGTTGTGATTACAGTGATATTTTAAAACGCCATTAATATTGTCTAACCGTCTCCAAAATAATAGATTGTATATTCTAATGACAGTCGAGACAATGAAAATAAATACAGCCTAGGTTTAGGTACGAACTTGTTTATGAATTCATCAGCTTTTTAAAACGTATACGATATCGTCCGGCAATCAATTCATAAAAATTTACTTACACTTATTTGTTGAGAGTGGAATTTCATTTATTCACTGAATAATACCAAGTCAGTGCTCAAAATACTGAGCACCTACTTTTGTAATAAGTTCCCGAAAACCTTTGAATTTAACAGGATTATTTAAAAATAGAAGACTAGAGTAAAATAATTTGTTAAAATCATGAGATTTGATGCACTAGAATAAAATGAATCCGAATTATTAAAAAAAACTTACTCGTTTGTGAAATATATTTTTTCATTAGGAAGTAGTAGATAGCTTCTTATAGTAAAATCAAACAGTATGCGTAGGCTAGAACAAACCTCTGCACAAATTAACCGGTTTCGATCAGTTAGTGAGAATAAAGGATTCATGATACGTGAAACGCGATCTGAAATGATTCCTTTGAAATGAATAAAATCAAGAAAAGCTCCCATAATCTACTATATTGAAGCTTAAAGCGAAAGAAGGTTTTTTTCAATTATTGAACAGCGTAATAGTCAAAGAAGGATATATTACTCAATTAACAGTTCCGAATGCCATCTTTTTTGCAAACTTGAAACATCGAAAGACTAAAATAAGCTTGTAAAATTGCAGCACACGTTTAATAAAAGTGGTAAATAAATAATATAATCCAGCAATGAAGTTCAGGTTTGTTTACTTTATTTGACCTGCACAATTAACAGGGCTTGTGTTCTTACCAGTCAGGTGCGCAAATCGAAGTAGGTAGAGTGGAGTTTAAATCTACCGTCCAACGGTTTACGTTTATGTGTCACTGGTATATTACAGCTTTAACTCAGCATACAGCTTGACAGTAAAATAAGAATCAACGACCAGGAAAACCAAAGCGCGATACATAACAACTACTACCAATACGAACTTGTAATTTATTTCTGCTTACATAAACTGGAATGAAAAATCACAATAAGTGGAGATTTAGAAAGAACGTATATTTCTTTTTAGGTTATTGTTACTCGGTAGTTTAAATAACCAACTTTTACCCATCATATCAGACGATCAAACTTCAATATAACTATTTAGATTTAGGTAATACGTTTTAACAAACAACATATACAGCTTTTTCTAATAGTAATTGAATCACGCCATGTTTCATTTAATTCAAAAAGTATTACATTATCTATCGGAAACAACGCTATCTTCCAATGAATGCCTCACCAGTTCACGAAACCGATCAAAATATTAACTTACCACTTGAGGAACTACTACATCCAAGCAGTGCACTGATATTCAATCCACTGTATGGGAATCCATCAACATACTTTTGGAGCACTTGAAGAACCGAACACCAATACTGAAATGTCTTGGACACATCCATTCCCACATCACTAGCATCGGTATGACATTTCAATATATCTCGAAGGTTTTGGGGGAGATCTAAAGAAACCATGTAAGGTTTGTGTATCTGATATAAACGTTTCTAATTTGCATAAATTTACCTGAAGCTGTTCAAACTGTAATTGTGTTATCTCCTCTTGATCCAGAATGGACGCAAGAACTGGATCTAAAAAAGGTATATTATCATCAAATGATGTGGAACTGATCAATGTTTTCCCTCTATTGCTATCGCTTGCAAGAGAACTATGATAAGATTTGTTTGATTTGGATCCTTTCCAAACGCCAGGAACTGTTTCCCAATCAATATCATCACCACTTAAAGCTGCACCCTCCAGAATCATATCGATACGTTGTTTACGCTGATGTCTTCCATGCACCTTAACAAGAATAACAAGATTGCGCAAAAGTTACATTTTGGGCAACTTCATCAATTTTTCTTTTTAATATTCGATTGAATTCATTGTTTTCAAGAAGCAAATCTTCCGGGACTTCACGATCCCATTTACACTTCCAGCCGTGAAAATGAACACAGTAATGGGGAATTTCTGTATCTCTACGAGAAACATGTTTTAATATCTGGATCAAGATATCAATTAAAAAATCAAATATATTACCTTTGCAAAATAAATTAGCTTAGCCTTAGAGCTGTCAGGTTCGAAACACAACAGCTTTTGCCCAATATCATAACGATGTGGACGATTGTCCATATTAATACAAGTAGTCTGCCATGCAAATCCAGGAATTTCATGTAGGGACTGTAGATTAACGAAAATAGCAATGGTAGACAAATCACAAAAATATATGGTGACTATAATAAAATATTGCACTTGTTACGATTTCAACTACGAATGTGGTTTACGATGTGATTAGGAGTAAAAGCACAGAGAAGTACTGAACTATGGTACTTTTAATTTATTATCTTATACAAACTGAAACACCTTATGAATAATATATAGAATAACCTAATAAATGGTGCGAACATATACTTAAAAATAAATGTTTTTAGAATACAGGGGATGTCAGATGCTGAAAACTCTATCCAGATAATTGACCAGAGGGGTACTTTGGAGACTTAGTTTGCGAACAAGGGTTTCAAAGAATAGTAACTACGATAATTAAAGTACAATGCAACCTTTTATAACTCCAAACGCTCAGATGTAGTAATGGTGTCAGTTGATTTTAATGGCCAGATGGGAAGTTTAAACTAAATTAGAGGGCATTTAGATAGATCTTAAGGTGTTACAGCTTACCGAACCGGCAACAATGACCGATTGTAGCAATTATGTTTGGGTAACCGTTTGTTTCTAGCAAACATAAACTTTTACCATGAGGGAAGATGTGTTTTCCTGTTCCAATAGACACAGAAAAGTGAAAATATTTTGGAAAAAGATTATTATTATTCACTCTCAATGCATGAGATTAAGTTGGTAGGCTAAACACTAAAGAACAGTCCATGTACCCTTTAGCCACATTTTAGTTGCACAACATTCACAAGCGAATTGACATAACACCTTCACCTTTTAATTAGGTTGAAGTGGTTGTAGGTAATCGAGTAAAGCAGGTGCACGCAGATTAACCGGCGAGACTACAACTTATGAACGAACCAATCACGTATAAGATAACAGGTCTCGGATTTTGGAGCGGAGCTCTATAGCTGAATTAGGATAAGCATATTTGCCTGCTCTTGAAAGCTGACTATTCCAGTCTATAGGAAACAACAAAATCTTGTGGAAATCATAGAACCATTTTGACAGTCATGGTGTCAAAAATGTTAGCATCAATAATCATCCGACGCCTAATTAGGGCTCCTAAAAAATAAAACCAAGGAGACCAGGCTGATTTCAAACCTGCAAGTGAGTGTATCGACTATATATTCATTCCTCATACGGTCCTGGAACATAATTCCCCACGCACGACTGTAGTTGTATACCTTAACCCTATTGCAGCGTTCGGTTTCATCGAGATATTCTATACCGATATTCATCAATAAAAGGTGTGAGCAGGAAAGGTGTAAAAATCTAGAATTATTGTTGGTAAACCGTCAAAACCATCGGTAGAAACATTTCGAGGTCCAAAAGAAGACGTTGAGTCAATTTTCCCTATCGCCAACAAAATGGCTGGACTATAACTTATGGATAGAAAACCACGGATAGAAATTCGTGTAAAACATCACGCATTCATTTAATCAAATGTCATTTTGGCATGATAGCTGATGACAGTTCCTAATGAAAACACACATAAATTCCTAAACATAAATTATGACCCTAAATCCAAAACCTGATTCTCCATAACCCTCGTGCAACCCTAGAATTTTCTCAAGGCTACTTTAGCATCGCCCAGTGGTCGTCCATAAATTATATTCTCACTAACAAAATCTATGGAAAGAGATCGCAAATTCAGTACCAAAGTACATTAATATCCAATGTTATCATTTTCATTTAAGTGACAGATGTCGAGAATGATGTATACTGCCAAAACTGACAGAAGGTACTGCTGTTCCATTTCCAAACACCAAAAGAGAGAACATCACATCCAACTCACCTATCGCCATGTAGCACCAGCTGCGTAAATCGCGGTTAAGAAATGGTTCAAGTGAGTGTGGACGGAATAGAAGAAGCTTTCGCTTAACAGGCTTCCGTGTCTAGTAGCAGGGGAGCACCAATACCTTCAGGCAGAAAATTAGGTATATTAACGATAAAAGATACTATCCTTATTCCTTAAGAATAGATCAAGTCACCTCTTAAAGGACTCCTGGGAAGTCACTTGGACTAGCTCAGCCGGCAGCGAATTCTAGCATTTGAAAACTCTTAAGGAGTAGAAGTTGTGCCTGCAGTCCTTTCTACTATGTTGTATCCCGAATTTCTGGGTGTTATCCCTTAGGTTAGTATTGGGACTAAGCTTGAGTAGGTGTCTAAGAGGATGTCCAGAAGTGTTAAGGATACTGTAAGCCATCAGAAGGTCACCTCTAAGATGCCTATACTCTACTGGGTAAGGGTCAAGTGATTGGAGGTGCTCTTCATAAGGTTTAAATTTGAGTCCTCGAACTGATTTCGTGGCTCGCCATTGGATACGCTCCAGAGTGTCCTTATCCTTTTGGAGTGAGGGGGGAAATACTATGTATCTAAATAGGGACGAGTAGAACTGTTGAAGATTATGTGGTAAGTTCTTCCGTCAAACTGACCAAAAGTGCGCTTCAATGTTACCAGTGCAAGGTTTGCTCGAAAGGCATTTCCGTCACAGTTGGCGTAAGACTTTAAGTCGTAGGGCACCAGAACTAAATCTTATTCGAATCGGGATACTACTAGAGAGGAGTTTCTTAAGTTGTAACTGTAGTCTGCGACATGTCGCAGATGGACTACTTTACACTGTAAAGTGTTTAATGTAAGTCCGTTGTCGTCTGCCCAACTTTGAAGTCGAGTCAGATCCTCCTGAAGTGCCTGTATATCCTCTTGGTTGTGTATCTCTCTCCAAAGTTTCACGTCATCGGCAAAAAGTAATAAGTCTGACGTTAACTGTTGTGGAAGATCATTTATATAAATCAAGAAGAGAAGAGGTCCTAGTATTGAACCCTGGGTGACCCCACTACGACATTCCATAGCCTGTGATAAATCGAAGTTTACCCTGACCTTAAAATGTCGATTTGTCAAATACGAACTGAGCTAGTCAATTAAAGGTCGTTTGATATCCAATTGTTTGAGCTTGTTAATAAGACATATGTGGTTAACCCTATCAAAAGCTTTAGAGAAATCAAGGTAAATGATGTCGATTTTCCTCTTGCGATCAAGGATGCTTGTCCATCTGTCCACCGCAGTCAGCAGGTTGGTCATACAGGAGTAAACCTTCCTGAAACCATGCTGCTGGAGTGAGTAGAAATTTAAGAACAGCAAATAGTCATATATACCATCGTATATCAGGGACTCCATGATTTTTGGAGGTATAAAGAGAAGCGCCACCGGTCGTAGGCTTGGACGTTCGCTGCGCTGATCTCCATTGAAAATTGGTGTGATATGAGCCAGCTTCCAATTTTCCGGTATTTTGTCTCGGCTTAGCGAGTGCGAGAACATCACGCTAAGCGGTGTTGCCAGGATTGAAGTTGCTTCCCTTAGTATGGCAGAATGAACCATATCTGGGCCGGGAGGTATCTTTTCTAAGGTGCCGCAGTTTCCGGAACACCAATTCAGCGCTCAGGTTCACTACGGAAAGTCCTGTGCAGTTGCAGATGAAGCTGTCATCAGTATAGTAGATGTGGGTCGGCTGAAATGTCCAGGAGGTCGGATCTACAGCGCGTCGGTGAGAGCAGTTTTGCTCTATGCTTGTGAAGCCTGGCCTCTCCGAGTTGAGGATGTTAGACGACTCTCTGTGTTCGACCATTGCTGTCTCCGAAGGATTGCTGGCATCCAGTGGCAGCACCATGTCAGTAATGCAGAGGTCCGGTATCGTATGTTCGGTCACAAAGACGATAATGAAATTGGTGTCACCATCTTGAAACACCGACTTCGGTGGCTTGGACATGTTTTACGAATGTCGTCCCAGAGAATTCCACGTCGTGCATTATTTGCCGACTCTGGGACTGGTTGGAAAAAGCGGTGAGGTGGTCAGTATATGACATGGTGTCGTGGTATGAAAGAAAGCTGCAAAGGGCTAGCTTCTGTTGGTCCTTCACGACTCCCTGGTTGGGGTCCGAGAGACGGTGTAACGCAGTGGCTAGAGACATTATCAGATATGGCTCAGAATAGAAGCCAGTGGCGATCCTGCTGTAACCTTCTTTTACTTTCTTCATAAAACGTGGTTGTATCTTCCTTAACTGAAAGGTCTCTTCTGACTGTACCTTTCCATTTCCCCCACCATTGTTCTGTCTCTCTCCCTTTTTTTTTATAATTCCCCACGTTCATTACTTTTTTTTTTCTCTTTTCTCCTCTTCAAATTATCATTGTTTTGTGTGGCGCATATATATTTGGTGCCCCCCTTGTACCAATATTTATGTGTTCATATAAATAACTAAAATAAATAAGGAGGTTAGCGGCGTCGCCGTTGTTATCGGTCGGGCCGTTAGGATTCTGGCGCCTTATCGCCTGTCCGGGTGCATATGGATCCCAGATAGCAACCGACGTCTGCTGGTACGAGATGCTTCCAGAGCTACAGCCGTCGTCTAAATCTGGCATCTAAATTGATGTAGGATTATTACATGCCGAATGATTTGTTTGTGCTCTCATCTTCGAATATACAACTATTTTGCATCTTTTGTTAGCGTCGTGTAAGTTTGTTTAAGGTTTCGGCTGCAGTAGTTTTAGGAGAGTTAATAAAATATCTGTGAGACTGAAGCCCTAATATGTTTTTTTGAACCATAAGTTCGTTGTATCACGTTTACGTTATTTTGTTTTGCTGATAATGCTGATAATGCGATGAAGAAGCTTGAAAACAGATTTGTTGAAAATAATGTAAATACAAAGGGAAAAATGTATTGTGGTAAACAAGTCTCCACCACTGATTCCGACCCTAATAATTTCACCAGATCAACCTTAGTTGAAGGAGGTCCATCAGGCGCTCGCCACAGAATATGTTTGGGTAGCCGCTCAACGCATCCATCGCAACAAACAGTCAGCTTAAATTGTTTACTTCTCAACGTATCGACTGTTTTCCAGATATTTATATATATATATTAAAGCCCCCTCCATTCCTGAATTCTAGTCCGGCCAGTGTTAAAGTATTTGGTTGGGAAGATATCAGAAAGAACAGAATTGTCGAGCACTGAATCTACGTGGCATCTTCAAGTTAGTATCGGTGATAACGACGAGCCCTACAGACTTCACTTGTAAGTATAGCAGGTTGAGTGATTGCAGCCTGTTTCCCAGTAGAGATCCAGCTTCTCTGTGAAGGTGTTCACTGATTGGTCTGATAATCCTTGTTCGGGTTGAGGGGTGAAATTGATCACTTAATAGGTAAACCTGAATCACACTGAGATTTTTCGTTCGTGGTCTTTGAAGCATCTTCTTATTAACTCTGAGGCATGTTAATACTTAAATCATCACTTAAGATATGGAATATCAATATGCGGTCACATTACATTCTGCGGTAGAATAAAAGGAAAAGGTTGGAGAGTTACGACTGCTCGTTCTAGGAAAGTTTGTAGAGTCCTCACTGTGTTAGCTGCCTTAATCGAATATGAACAAGCTACACGACTAGAATATTCTAAATAGGTTGTTTAGAGAGCCAGCAGAAGAAACTAACTAGGATATGACAACGCGTATATGATATTTAAAATTCGTTAAAACATTTGAATGCTCGGTGACTATAAAACCTAAGGCTACTATTGTATTTCAATTAGCATCCGATTCCCAGGCACGACTGTTATAACGTTTGGGTATTTTCGTCCTTGCAGGAGTGAAAGTGGTGTTCCACTGACAGTCCACTGATTACCTTCACAGTGTCCACTATGCATTAAAACACTCATTATTGAAATAATTTCAAGTCCCGAAATCGTGACCATTTAAGTAATTGACTTGGACCAATATAAATATGAAGTTGATCACTCCAATTTCTTATTAGTCTCTAGACTTTAAAGTTACCTGTCAACACTGATATCTCCAACGTGAAAAATTTCGATAACTTGTCGAAGTAGTGAAAAAATATAGTGAGACCAAAATGGTACCTTATAGCACAAGTCTTTTGACCGGTTTCAATTGGAATACTGTTTCACTCTCTGTCTATCTAAAAGGACAGTGGTATTGTTTCTCGTAGAGTTAACCAACTGTTTTGATCATAAATTACGCATCAAAACTATTGTTTACACCCTAATTGAATCTTCTCCAGTTAAAGTGATATTGTATTGAGTGTTTTGATTTTGCTTTTGTCTATATACTGTATCGAAACATACTTGGTCGACTTTTAATTGATTTATTTAGTCAAGGTTTTAGAATTCTTTTACATATGTTGCTTGTATCACCATTGTAGTTGATTTTCAAGATGGCCAAATCGGCTCATAAATGTGGACAACCATATTGCTTATTCCCCGTGGAGGAAGGGATGCAATGTGACGAGTGTAATAAGTGGTTCCACAAGATGTGCATCCGATTAAGCCCCGCTGCATATAAAAGGTGTTCGAACTTCAACTCTCATTGGCTTTGTAGTTTTTGTTGCTCGAGTAAAACCACTCATCAAGGAAGCAATTAGCCTCCTGGTGTTGGCTAATAAGAAGGTTGATTAGGGCTGTACTTGCAACATTGGTATTGATGGCGAAGATCGCATTAGTGTCGTAAGTGCTGTTACGGCTCAAGCCAGACATCTAACTGTGCAACCCGAAATTAAAATTTCTACCCCGAAACAATCAATGAGTGACACCTCATCAGATATTGGTGGCCATGTTGCTACAGCAGCAACTGGTGATCCAAATAAAACAATTACTGTCCCGAGTAGTTCTAATGTAGATGACGCGGAAACGCAGAAGAGTAGGAAAGACAGCTAAAACTAATGACCGTTTACTTGATAAGTGTTTCGTGGACACTCAGACCACTCCGCCGAAGTCCCAAAGTAAAGCCTCTTCAAATATTGTTGTGAGTCACTTGCTCGACTCCAATGACTCTGTTACATTAAAAAATAATCGTAAGGTACCAGCAGTTAATATACAGGATGTAAGGTCACGATCGATAGCTGTAAACAAGATTCCAAAAGAAGCTAAACCAATCCCTAGTTTAATTATTTGGAATCTAGAGGAGTCGATAGATAATGATCCTGCTAAGAGACATGCACATGATCTGAAGTTGGTGGAATCCGTGGTAAGAAACGTACTACCTGAAGGGGTTTCAGGAGTACATATCACGAAAGTGATACGACTCGGTAAATGGGTTGAAGGCGAGACCCAACCAAGAAAAATCTTGAAGCTGGTTCTCGAAAATTTTGAATAAAGGGATATATTATTGAAAAACGCACAGAAAAATTCGTGATTCAAATATTCGTATTTAACCAGATTGGCTTGAGGATCGAATCAAGTGGAAGAATGCTCTTACGGAGTTGAGAACTCGTAAGTTGAATAGCGAAACTAACCTTACCATCAAGGGTTTTCGGGTAGTTAGGTCTTGGAAGCTAATGCTTCCGAGGCCCGTATGGGTAGAACGAATGATTCCCAAAACACCTTAAGTGTGTGGTACACGAACGCCCGTAGTCTTAGGAATAAAACGTCCGAGTTAAGTCTGTTGGTGGATGAATTAAGTCCCGATATAATTGTTGTTACAGAAACTTGGTTCACCGTAGATATAGAATGTTCTCCCATCATCGCAGGCTATGTCTGTATTAGACGTGATAGAGTTTTAAGTCGCAAGAGAGGAGGCATAACGTTATACATTAGGGATCACTTTCGTATACAATCGATCATATCGGAGGCTCATGTTAGTGGTACATGTTAGGTAGCATGTTGTAAGATTAAATCTAGAAATGGGTTTGTGACTATAAGGGGAATATACCGTAGTCCGTGTTGTCTTGCTGGCGACTTTATCCTAAGACACATCTGTTCTTGGAGTATGGCAGAATGTTGTCTCATCATTGGGGACTTCGACGCACCGTATATCAACTGGATAGAGCTTACAGCTCCAGGTGGAGGTTTCGATAGCGAACTTTTATCAACCGTTATTCAGTGTGCACTTGTCCAATGTATCACAAAACCGACATATATTGATTTGAAACATGATCCGTCACTGCTGGACCTCGCCCTTACCCACCACTATGATGATGTCTTTGATATTCAGTACCTTCCCTCACTAGTGAACAGTGATCATGTTGTACTTCACTTTAAGTTTAGGACACATGGTATACGATTTATATCTGCTCCACCCCGTCCCAATATCTGGCGTGCTAATATTCCGGGAATCAGAGACTGTGCTATCTGGACTGATTGGTCGGTTGACGAGATGGATCGATCGGAGACGAATGGAATAAGTTTAAGGCTACATCTGAGTCCATAACGTCGCCGTTTATCCCATGGTCAGCAGATGAGCTATCGCATTGCCCTCCATGGATTAATAAGGAAACCCGGAATCTGTTAAAGCTTTGGAAAAACTACTGGGACATTCTTGTTGACAGGTCATGCATCATTTAAGCGTGATTACCAAAAACTCAGGAATATTTGTAAGAAAATAGTGGCTAAATTCCATACTACTTTCGAACGACAGTTGGTATATGATAGCCGTACTTGTCCGAAACGACTGTTTTCGTATGTTAAACGGCGAATGAAACTTAGTGAAGGTATTCCCTCGTTATTGTTACACGATAATTCTTATTTACTAGCTGAATCAGATCGGGCTAAAGCTGAGACTTTTTCAAACTATTTCAGCGAAGCCTACTCTACGTTTATTGTAACAAATACTTGTCCTAATCACACCGAGATACCAGCCATTAAATTTGTACTGGTGACTGAGGAAACTGTCCTTCCGTTGATAACCAACCTCAAACCTGGAAAGATACCGGGTCCGGACTAGCTACATCCACGGCTGCTGTCATCTCTTGCGGACATTATTTCAAAACCGCTCGCGACACTCTTCAACATGTCCCTTTCACTCGCTGAACTTCCTAGGGATTGGAAAGTTGCTATTGTCAGTCCTGTATTTAGGGATGGTCAGAGACAGATCGTATCTAACTACCGGCCTGTCAGTCTGACTAGCATTGTCATTAAGTTACTTGAAAAGATAATTCGGTTTAGGTTGCTAAGTCACATAGATTTACACAATCTGTTAGCTCCTGAGCAACATGGATTTCATGACAAGCGTTCATGCTTGACTTACTTATTGCGAGAGAGGACTGGACATCAGCCTTAGATAAAAGTCTGTCTGTCGATTTCATATTCATAGATCTTAGCAAAGCATTTGACAAGGTTTCACACTTAGGCCTTATGCAAAAGCTCACAAGCTTCGGAATAATAGGTACTGTACAGGAGTGGATAGGAAACTTCTTACGTGACCGCAGACAGAGAGTGAGGGTCGATGGGAAGCTATCCGATTGGAAGCCGGTCAAAAGTGGTTTACCCCAAGGCACCATATTAGGCCCTCTGCTCTTCATTCTCTACGTAAATGAGTTGCCGCTGTTGCTTAGGTCGTCGACATTATTATTGGCGGATGACGTAAAAATCTGGAGAACAATAAGAAGTGAGGCTGATCATCTGGATCTTTAAGCTGACTTAGACGATTTGGTTAGATGGGCTCGAGGTTGTGGCCTAGAAATCAATTTCAGGAAGAGTGTGCTAATGCACATCGTGCACGCCAACAGTTACCATTATACTATTGATGGTAAACCTCTTCCATGCGTTCAAGAACATGAAGACTTAGGAGTAATAATAAGTCATGACCTGAAAACAAATGAGCATTACAAATCAGCCGCTGTCAAAGGTTTTCGTGCGTTGTGGTCGCTTCGCCGAGCGTTCAAATCTTTTGACGATGAAATGTTTAGAATTTTATATCCCACCTATGTAAAACCACATTTAGAGTACTGTATCCAAGCAGCTAGCTGGGCTAGCTAGCCCATGTCTGGTAAAGGATCCTAACTCACTTGAGCGTTTCCAGTGTGTGAGAACGAAATTGGTGAAGGGTCTCTCTAAACTCCCTTACGATGAGCATTTAAAACGCATAAACCTTTTCCCCTTGTTGTATCGTAGGACTCGAGGTGACCTTATACTGGCATTTCGTATATTTAATTATGATTTGGGTGTTAATATGTCTTATCTTTTTGCTCCCTCCAACACTAATAATCTCCGGGGTTACAGCAAGAAGGTTCATAAACCGCGATCTAATAAACGTAAAGTGGGGTTCCGTTTTTCTCATCGAGTAGTCAATGATTGGAACGCCTTGCTCGAACAAGTGGTATCAGCCCCATCAGTGAATATTTTGAAGGAGAAACTGGACCTTCACTGGAAGGCAAACTGTTAGGATTAATACAGGTTCATCAACCTACTGTCCTTACTACTGAAGACTGAAGACTAAAGGTTTTTACCCAGATGGTACGGTATCTGTTATGCGAATGCTGGAGAGCTTTTGTTAAGTTCTTATCCGAAATTGAGAGAAAAGTCACAAAGACTACTCTTTTTTACCCCGTTTTATGATCTGTTTTAAATGAATTTGTCATTGCACAACGAATGTGCAATAAAAAATAAGCTGGAACTTTGGTCAGAAAAACGCAAAGGTAAATAGCGCGATGTTTGTTGTTCGGTATTGTACAAACTTGTAGTCCAGTATGCCTTTCTTACCTCATGCTAAAGGAAACTTTACAGAGCTTCTGTGTGTTAACGTGAGTCTTAAACTGGAACTAGCGTAAACTTTATTAAAATTTATATATTACGAAATGACTTGATATACATATATGACTTTCTTTAATTTCGATTTTATTTTTCCACGTGTCAACTTCTCATTACATTTTGCAACTATGGTGCATTTAGATAAAAAAGTGTAATCCTGTGAATGGTGGTGTATGTGTAATTTGTTTCGAAGTTTAAGAATAACAAAACTTATAGTTGTAGACGTTACATTTCTGCAGGTCAAGTTAATAAACCGTGGTTGGGTTGCGTAATTTCGTTCGAACGTTTATGAATTCCTCTATTCATCTCAATGTACACAGGCACGGAACCTCGTTCAACACTTACTTTTACTTCGCAAAATAAAGGCGTTTATTTTTGATTTGCGAAAAAAAACAGTTTCACAGAAATTTATGGTATTTAGTTAAAATATGCCACTATGATTAATTTTGTGTATTGCAAGTCTTGATCTGTAAACAAAATTTGGGGATGAAAAGATCCCGTTATTTTCAATTTTTTTCGTGGGACGCAAATTCAGTGTACTTACAAGTTCAGAGCATTTTGCATGGTACGTTAAATCAAGTATTCATAACACGGGATATATGTAATTTCTGGGTTGATGTTTCACATATTAAGTGATATTGTTTAGGGCTGTCCATAAAGTAGTATAAAATTATTTTAGAATGTCCACAATATTGTAATTATTAACAGAGCAGTTCGCTTCAGATGACCTTCACATAATGGCATTTTTCTGGGGCGGAAATAAATATATCATGAATTTACCGATTGCCTTATATCCTGATGTAAAAGTTTCCCTATGTTGTTAGATATAATAGATTCCCATTTTATTTCAGTTTCGTATAGGTTATGTATGAATGTTCAACACCCGAGTTAAATACTCTGTGGTCTTTCTGATAGAAATAATTCTACAAAATAAACTGCAGTATATCGACGTCTAAAGCTGTTCTCAGTGTTGTCATGAAGCAAAGGCATTCAGTGGGTATGATTTAACAAATGCTGTCCATTTTGTAATTTCTAACTTAGCCGCCCTCAAAAAGGTCAAGAAAAATATAAAAAAACACTTTAACGATCAAGATGCTTCTGAACTCCACAAAGTGTTGTCGAAGAAATTGTTCGGGAATTTGGTAGAGGTAATTCTAAGAACTTGTTCTATATATTTATGGCTTGAGTTGTGTCAATCAATATGTGTTTAATTTCTTCATTTTGACTTTATATCAATGGGATATAATGACTGTAAAGTTAGAACATGCTTTAGTGAATTGATTTGTAATGTTTGACTAGAGACTCGTATCCCATTAAATTCACACAGAATTTCGTTATTGTATCTAAATGACTGTATACTAACAAGGTACACGAACATGTTTTGCATTAACTCAGCTTTTCCTTATCACCATTGGTGAAATACAGTTTTGTTATGAGGTATCGAGCAGTTTTTTTAACGAGTATCTATATCACGCAAATTGAGTAAACTATAACCTATCTTCCGTATGGTCAAAGTTCACAGCTTTGTTCATACTACTAAGTATTGTTAGACTGTTTATAGTTTGCTACATGAACCTGACCGTTGTTGCTACCTTGACGTGGTGGTCGGGCTTGCCTATCGTGATGAAGCAACTGAGCTATACTGACTGGGACAACCGTTCCTCAAGGTCCTACCATGCCAGACAGGTCGGTTGAAGAGCGGTAAGACTAAAAGCAACAAATCCAAGGTCCGAAGGCGAAGTCGTACTGCTGACTGTACAGAGGTGTGACAGCAGTAAGGTGTTTCCTTCAGACAACCAGCATAACAGCGATGCTGCTTTCCCACAAGTTGAGGTGGGGTTAGAAAAGGTCGACCCTAAAAATGCACACCTCGCCTTATCCCACGGATATCCGTCTCCGGCGGTAAGGTCTCAACAAGTACGGAGCTAACACAAAAATTACTCATAAAAAGGTCGTATGTGACCGACCTCAAGCAGTTGTCCTTTGGGCACTGCCGTCACGCTCTCAGGTCACTAAGACCACTTCTAATCCAATTTCCTTTTCAGGTACCTCCAGCAGAACCCTTCCACGGTGTGGGCAACCGGGAAGTGATAACCGCCCTCACACCTCTAACAGCACTCAAGACCACTGTATTCATAATCAACCTCCCTGTTCAATTCTTATTATTCCTCTTACATCGACTTTCAAATATAAACTTCCTCTTTCGGCTTCCTCCTCAAGTGTCACCACAGCCAACGATTCTAGTGCTCAAAACACTGTCCCAGGTCTACTGAAACCCCGCTCCAAACTACACATTGGAGCCTTCAACGTACACACACTATGTCAAATCGGTCAACAGGCTTCCTTGGCTAAAACCTTAGAATCTCGTGCGATTGATGTATGCAGTCAGTCAGTCAGTAACAACGTGGAACTTCGTACGTACGTACATCAGTTCGAGTTGCCATACCACATTAGCACAGAGATTCAGTTATCGATTCAAATCCCGTAGTGGTAGAGGTACTAAAAGTATAAGTAGAGATAGGGGACATTAAGGTTTGATGATGTTATTAAAGGAGTATTGTCCAGTGGAATAAATTGGGAAAGAAAATAAAGGACATGGAGAATTCAGAAGATTAGAGTTTGAGAGAACACAAAGAGTGAATGCACCTGCACTATTGCAAACGATTTTGAGCCATGTCATTCAAGGTCTCTAACCATCGGTTGCTATCGTCTCGCGGTCCCCAACCAGGTAGTCTACACCTACCAACATGGCTCAATCCACTTGTCAGTGACTTCATGGATTTGTGCCATGTTTTGGTCTGGCTGTGTCCAAAACACGCATACAGGATCCTAGTGTGGTCATTCACTTGACCTCACCTCGGCAAAACGGAGTGCCGAAGAGATACACCCTCCGTGTATCTGACGGTCCGATGGCTAGTTCTCGTGGACTTGCAGGTGTAGGCATAGCACTAAGCATGAGAGCGGAACAAGCGCTATTAGAGTGGATCCCCGTTAATAGTCGTCTATGCGCTGTTCGGCTAAACGGCTCCGTAAGAACTGGAAAGGATAGGGACACACGTCGTCGCCTTTTCGTCGTTTCTGCCTACGCTCCCACTGACTGCAGTTCGGATGAAGTGAAAGATGAATTTTACAGAAAGCTGTCTGAACTTCTTCAGAAAGCTAAACGTTCAGACATAGTACTCGTAGGAGGTGACTTTAATGCCCAGGTAGGTAGCTTAAACCAAACAGAAAGACATTTAGGTGGGCATTTTAGTATTCCGGCACAGAGAACAAATAATGGTGATCGTCTGCTGCAACTTTGCTCAGACAATCGTTTATTTTTAGCAAACACAAATTTTAAGCATAAGGAGAGACATCGTCTAACATGGCGACTCCCTGCACCAAACCAACGATGGACTCAAATAGACCATATTGCCATCAGTCATCGTTGGAGAGGGTCGATAGAAGATTGTCGCTCATTCTGGAGTACCTGCTTGGACTCCGACCATGCTCTAATACGAGCACGCATCTGCTTGCGCCTCACTGGATGCAAAAGAGCCACACAAAAAAGACTCATTAGAACCGAATTGAGTAATGAGAAAACCAAAAGTAGGTTCCAGGAACAACTGAGGTCACACTTAGGTAGTTCTGAAAACGAGGCTGACCCCGATGTTGATTGGAAAGACATACAAGCAGCTGTGGAAACATCAGTGACATCTACTAGTGATTTAAACCACAGGGTTACAAAGAACCAATCGATTTCTTCAAGGTCTATTGCACTGATAGATTCTCGTAAACTCATCCCATCAGGTTCTGAACACGATGAACAGCGTAAAGAAATCAGATCTAGGTTAACCAAAAATCTAAGAAATGATCGAGAGTAGTGCTAAGCAACGAAAGCAAAAGAGATGGAAAAGGCGGCGGCTATAGGGAACACAAGACAACTCTACAGACTAATAAAAGAAACTGAACTTAATTAATCAAGTGTAAGTCAGACTATTTCGGAAAAAGACGACACTCTCATCTGCTCCCAGTCCAGACGTTTAGAACGATGTGCGGAACATTTTAAGGAGCAGTTCAGTTGGCCTTCAGCTACTCTACAACTACCCTCTATTCCCAGACAGTATGAATGGAACATTGAAGTAGGTCCCCCAACTCTAGCTGAAGTTCAAAAGGCTATAGCTAATCTGAAACGAGGAAGGGCAGCTGGTCCAGATGGATTGGCTCCAGAGGTCTTTAAGGATGGTGGTCTAGTTTTAGCGATTAGGTTGACTAATATTTTAGCTAAAATCTGGGAGTTAGACGTCATCCCATCTGACTGGTCGCAGTCGCTTATTGTTCCGATTTATAAGACAGGGTCAAAATCGTCCTGTGACAACCATGGAGGGATTAGTTTAACTAATATAATATCTAAAATACTAGCTTCGATAATTTTCGGACGCCTAACTAAGACTCGTAAGCTGCAAACACGTGAAAATCAGGCTGGCTTCAGACCTGGTCGTGGCTGCATCGACCACATATTCACCATTCGTCAGGTTCTAGAACACAGGCATACTTATCGGCGTCCGACAATGATGGTCTTCCTTGACTTAAAAGCAGCGTTTGACTCTGTGAACCGAGAGGTTCCGTGGCAGTGTCTGTCATTGAAAGGCGTACCTCAGAAGTACATAAACCTTATGAAGGCTCTTTATTCGAACACTACTAGTCGAGTCAGAGCTTATGGCGAACTGTCATCTGCTTTTGCAACCTCAAGTGGTGTCCATCAAGGCTGTCCACTTTCTCCATTTTTGTTTAGTTTCATCATAGATCTACTGATGGAAATAACGCTCTCATCGACTGAATTCTCCGGCATTGATCTCCTACCTGGCGATCCACTTGTCGACTTAGAATACGCAGATGACATATTCCTGTTTGGTGAAAATGCTGATGAAATGCAGAGTCTTTTGGTAGCACTGAACAACAATGCCAGAATGTTTGAGATGCGCTTCTCTCCCTCTAAATGCAAGTTGTTGCTTCAGGACTGGTCTGCGTCAACACCTGAACTAAGGATAGGGAGTGAAGTAATCGAACGCGTTGACAACACTTATCTTGGAAGTCTGATCAGCCCTAATGGGTTGGTGTCTGACGAAATCTCAGCACGGATTCGAAAAGCTCGTTTGGCCTTTGCCAACTTACGTCATCTATGTAGAAGGCGAGATATCCGTCTATCAATTAAGGGACGAGTATACTGCGCGGCAGTTCGTTTCGTTCTACTATACGGCTGCGAAACATGGCCTTTAATAGTAGAAGATATTCGTAAGTTACTAGTATTTGACCACAGATGCCTTAGAAATATTGCTGGTATCTGCTGGGATCACCGGGTAAGTAATAGTAAGGTTAGACGCAGGGTATTAGGGAATGATGGTAAATCAGTTGATGAGGTTATGGACCTTCATCGACTGAGATGGTTGGGCCACGTGCTGCGTATGCCTGAACACCGATTACCACGACGCGCAATGCTCACTGGTGTTAGGGATAATTGGAAGAAAGTTAGGGGCGGCCAAACCAAAACGTGGCATCAGTGCTTGAAGTCACTAACTTCTGGTCTGAGCCATGTTGGTAGATGCAGACTACTTGGTTGGGGTCCGCGTGACTATCGTAACCAATGGTTGGAGACTCTTGGTGACATGGCTCAGAATCGATCACAATAGCGTCGGTGTATACACTATCTGTCTTCCTTTAAACTAACAGATTAAAATCACTTCAAATCTTTCTTTCTAGGAACTAATTCTTTCTTCCTGTACTATCTCCTTATACACACTCTTTCTTCTATATATTACCACCACTGAAATTACTACTTCTATGAATCCGGTGTTCATCTTGTTGTGCTAATGCGGTATGGATACTTGGACCGATGCATATGTGTGCCTGGTCCTACGTTGCAGCAGACTGACTGACTGACTGACTTGCTACATGAACCTTTAAATAACCGTTATATAATTTTTTTTAGAAAAGAATCCGTTTGTACATGTTAAAAAGTCGAAAAATAGGTCATGTAAATCCTGCATTTAAACCAACACTAACGGCTGTTCACATTATTTCAAATTTTCTAACTCTAAAATGTGTTTTAACTCATATCAACTGCTATATCAACTTACAGCTGTCATAGCTTCATTGCGTGACGTTGATA